ATAAAGATAAAAGGCAGGTCACTGTTTGCCTGGTGACTTGGGGAGGAAGGAAGGTGTTCTCCTCCCAGCCTCAGTTGACTGCCCACTTCCAACCTGTGTCTGCCCCCACCATACACACAGGCAGAGTACAGTTTCTGACATGGACTGACATCATTAATACCTACCTTTTCTTCAAGCCATTTCTGAGAGTGCTCTTATGAAAAGAAAACAGTTTATAAATTCTATCCTTCACAGAAATAGTGCTATACTTAAATTATATGTGTGTATGTATTTGTCACATGAGGACCATAGTATACACTGTGTCTTGGCAGGAAATACTCTAAATGAGGACACCTACCCCAGAAGCCTAAAGTTCTCACAAAGAAATCTCACAGTATCACACTGTTGGCAAGGTCTCTAGGGAAGATTGGGCACTCGTCACTCCAGCAACTCAGCAAAGTGGCCATCTTGCCTTTGCCTTCAGGCCCCATTTGGTGATGTATAGGTTCCCAAAAGGCTCTGCCCCTGCCCCTGGCCAAAAATCCCAGACAACAGGCCTTGAGCTTATACCTTTTTTAAAAATATATTTTTGAGTTGTTGATGGACTTTATTTTGTTTATTTGTATGTGATACTGAGAATCAAACTCAGTGCCTCACACATGCTAGGCAATCGCTCTTCCACTGAGCTACAACCCCAGCCCAAGCTTGTACCTTTGTACCATCATTCCACTCTAAATAATTATCTTCCTTGTGTGTGGGTGGGAGTGAGGGATGCCTAGTCCCTCTGACTTGTCATAAGGTGACCTGGGGCAGGGAAGCTCTACCTGAACATGGGCTCTGTCTTAAACATTCCTTTCACAGACATCCCCTTCTCAATACTTGTTCAATGGCTATGCCATTCCCTTGTTGTGTGGCCTTAAACAATTCCCTCTACTTTCCTGGGCTTCAGTTTCCTCTACAGATATAGAATAAGGCAATCAGACTAAGTGTGAACAGGAAAGAATGAGGAGCTGGGAAGGAACTGCATAGTTACCTTCTGCTTGCTCTCTTGGGTGGTCAAGTAGATGTCAAGCCTCCCCCCAGCCTCACCCCAGGAGAATCACAGAAGGATGTTCAGAAGTGTCTGTCTTCCACTCTTGTTTCTAAGGCCTTGAGGACCCATGTTTAGGAACTCTAGGTACTGTATTCTCCATTCTCACCTCCTCTAACCTGCATAGCAGACGCCACCTGCTATGGATAAAATCAGAGCCCCCTCACCCTCTGCCTTTGATTGGGCTTGGCCAGTGGAGGCACTGGTGAGAGATCAGAAGACTGGAGGAGAAAGAGCTGGAAGTTATACTTTCCTGGTCCCTCCCTGCTGACCTGTGCTTCTGGCAGCGATGGCATTTTGTGGTTACAGCTCTATCTGGGTGGCCCTCTTTGCTCCAGTTCTCATTGGTTTTCATTGGTTCCCTTCCTTTTTCTCCTCTGGTCTGGAAATGCTAAAAGGACTTTTTGCTGTTGCCAGTACCCAGGTCAGTTCCCTTTATCCTGCACATGCCTCTAATTATCCTTCCATCAAACCCCTTTCAGTAAACCCTTTGAAGCATTCTCTTTCCTGCCACACTGATACCAACTCCACTTCTTTTCCAACTTTGAGAATTAGGATTCTAACTGTTCCCAGCTAAGAAAAGTGCTATGGTTAAGGTATGGTTTGTATTCAAAGTTTCGTGTGTTGAAATTTAACCCCCAATCAATCTATGGTGTTGGAGTGGAGCCTTTGGAAGGTGATGGGAATTAGATAAGATCATTAGGGTGGAGCCCCCATGATTGAATCCTGGTACGTTTATAAGAGGGAGAGGGACCAGAAAAGATATGCAAACATGTTTCCTGTCTCTCTCCATGTGATGCCCTGTGCCACCTCAGTACTCTGCCAGCAAGAAGGCCATCACCACATGTGGCCCCTGGATCTTGGACCTCTGGAACCAAGAGCCAAAATAGACCTTTTCTTTATATCTTACCCAGTCTATGGCACTGTGTTATTAGCAACAACCAAAAAAGGATTTTTTTTTTAAGTTTCATCTGGAAGACTCAGAAGACAGTGCCTTCTCTGTTGCTGGGTGCTTTCCTCCAGAGGCACCCCCACCCAAGGCTCTTTCTTTGTGCAAATGAGTAAGCGAGTCATCTAATACTCTGATACCTGGTGACATATTTTACCAAATATTCCTCTGTTACTCATCCCAATTATCTGTATTTATGTACATGCTGCATTCCTCTTATCATCTATCTTATTTTTCTGGGGTGGCAGATTTCCAAAGTCCCTCTCTTATTCATGCATCACACATGGATGATTCACAAGTGGGAAAGTCAACAGGGTTCCTGCCACCTCAGTCTCATCTGTAAAATGGGATAACATCAACCTCATAGAGTCAGCGAGAGGACTAAATGAGTAACATCTGTAGTGCTTACAGTGGCAGGTGCAAAGTATTGGCTAAGGCTGTTATTATTCTCTCACCAGAGTCATCTTGGCTGGCTTTCCTAAGATTTGTGTGTAGTAAAGGAGAAAAGAGGGCCTGGGTAGGAATTTGTACTTTTCCTCTTCTGTTCCCAAAGCTTTCCTTAGCACCCCATCCCCTTCTCCACACTCATTCCTTGTAGATTTCCTTTTTGTCACTCCTTCAATCCAAGAGGCTCCAAAAAGGACAATCAGGATAAGCTGAGATTCTTCTGCAAATTCTAGCCCAATGGTTTTGTTGGCCCTGGGAGCATGGAGTTTCCAAGAAACCCCATATACCACAGAACGTGGGTGTTACTCTAGGCCACCCGTTGGCTTGCTCTTATCTGTTTAAGCTTCCTTTCAGGACTGTTTGAATAAAGGCTTCCAAGACTTTAAAAAGTTAAAAATCCCTGATGAGGTATTAAAACTTCAGAATTTACAACGCTTCATTCTAATCTTCTTTGGCTCTTCCGCCAAGGAACTTTCTCTACTCCATTCAAATAGTCTGTGTTATTTTACATTTCTGATGCTCCGATAGAGACATGTGAACAAGCAAATCTTTGTGTACTTATCTGGTATCTTTCCAAGGCACTCAGCCTGTTCAGGAGACAGTTTTCTTAATTTTAGGCCCCCAGGGAAGCAACTACAACACCGTTTAACAAGAGTCATTCAAAGGTACTTTTTACTGGCAACTGATCCCAGCTCCTGCATTACTTCCAAGTCCTAGAATATAAAGTTACTAGTTACTAAATGACCTTGGGCCAGGCCTGGTCCCAGTGGCTGCCAGGAACAAGGGAAGTAAGGCCACGGAAGCTATACAGGAACTAAGTCCTGGGGAGGGAGCTGGAGAACCCAGCAACTGCAATTGGCTTGAGGAGTTGGAGAGGTACAAACACTCCAAATGTTATAATTTTTTAAAACTGAGGTAAGAGGAACCCTTTGGGGTGATTTGTTCCCCTTCTATCAATGCCACTCTCTATAGGGCAAAAAGCCCATGGGCCAAGGGTATGCACACACCCAAAGCTCTTGTCCCTCACTCCTCCTTAGAGCATACTATAGGTACCTGAGGCCCTAAAACTCATTGCCTCTATAGCCCACAGGCCAGCATCAGGAAAACAGCCTGCATTGGCCTTTTCCCAAGGTCTAGCTTCTTAAAGAGTAGACAAGGAGGGGATTGTTGTGGGAGGTGTGGGTGAAGCTCAGATATACAAACAGGATGTTCTAGGTGTGAATAGAAGTGTCCTTGAAGTATGTAAGAGCCGGATGCAAAGGAGAGGAGGAAGGTTGAAGGTCAGAAACTAGTTACCCCCAAAGCCACCATATCAAGTGTACATCTCGGAGGAGTCCAAGAAATCTAAACTTTTATTTGGCTTTCCAGATTATTTGCAAAGTATGGATGTCAAGATAAAAGGATAGAAATTTTACATAAGTTGAGTTTGGTTTACAGTTTTTAAATGTGTAGACATATAATATGTAGGTCTCTATTTGTAATACTGACTCAGTTCCTGCAAATATTAAGGGTGGGCCTTGACCACCCTAAAATGGCACCTCTTTTGTCACTCCATTCTTTCCCAATAGTGTATTTCCTCATTACATTTGTCATCATCCGACCTTCATTGACTTGCTATTCATCTCTTTATCCCCAGTGTACTGTAAGTTCCACGCCCCGAGAGTCTCTTCTGCTCCTGGCCTTATTCTTGGCACCAAGACAGCACTCATAAACGTGGAAGAGATGAACAGTAAATCTAGTCTCAGGACTTATGGGTGAGGTGGGCAACCAGCAGACAGGGAAAGGTCACTAGCGACAACCCTGAGGGGCACCTGCTCTTCTCAAAAACTCATAATAAATCCGCTGACCACGCAAACCCCTGGCACTCAGGAACATAGGTTAGAGCTCCCGTTACTTGTGAAGGAGCAGCTGAGTGTGGGGAGGTCTGAGCGGGGTGAAGGGACGGGCGCGGGGTTCCAGGGCAATGGGCCAGCGCAGCGCGGGGAGCCCCGGGGTGTGGGTGCCTCTGACCCCTGCGGGGTCAAACACTCGGAGACCGTCCGATTGCGTGGCCCTCTTACCCCCCAACTACTTCGAATTAGCTACGTCACACTGCTTGTTGGGAGACCCAGAACTTTCCAGGAACCGAATAAATCGGCACCATCCATTCCAACCGGCTCCTCTTCCATCGGTACGGGGGCCGGGAGAGGCCAAATGACCTCCGAGCCCCCGCCGCGACCCCAACTCCGGGCTTCTGCTAGACGGGCACCTACTCCTTTCCCCTGGGGATGGGGCTCCTGGGGCCGGACTGCGCTACTCGCCTCCTCGGACCTGAGGCGGCAAGCGGGCTCGCGCCGCTCTGAGGCCTCGGCAGCTAGCCAGGACCACGCTCAGCGCCGGGTTGGCCAACAGGAGAAGCCCCAGTAGCGCGCCGGGTCTCGGGGCGGGGCCTGAGGGCCGGGGGCGGGGCCACGTGGCTCCGCCTCGAGGGCGGAGGTCCGAGGTGCCGCGGCGCAGTCCGACAGCGACTGGTCGCAAACTTGGGTGCTGTGGTGGGCGCCGCCGCTGAGGATGAAGAGGTGCGGCCGCCGCTCGGGGCCGCCGCCGCCGTTGCTGCTGCTGCTGCTGCCGCCGATGCTGCTCGCGGTGCCCGGCGCTGGCGCGGCCCGGCTCTCGGCGCTCTACTCGTCCTCCGACCCGCTGACGCTGCTGCAGGCGGACACGGTGCGCGGCGCCGTCCTCAACTCCCGCAGCGCCTGGGTGGTGGAGTTCTTCGCCTCCTGGTGCGGCCACTGCATCGCCTTCGCCCCGACGTGGAAGGCGCTGGCCAACGACGTTAAGGGTGAGAGGCCGGGGCCGCCCCCCACCTGCCGGCCGAGGGCCCTCCCTTGGGCGCGTTCCCGCCTTCCCACCCCCGGCCCGCCGCGCCCTGCCTGCCGGTCGCACGCCCGCCCGCACTTGAACATCCTTCAAGCGCTTTTTTTGTGCTTTTCCTCTTGGCCCGCATCCGGAGCTTCTCTCCCTCTTCGCGCCTGCGGCCCCCCACCTCTGCTCGCCGCCATCGTCCTCTGCCAGGTTGCTGCCCCCATCCCTGCGAGAGGGGCTCGCTTTTGTTCCTCCTCGTGCTTCTCAGACATTTCTTCCAGTCCAGCCCGCGGCAGCCCCCTTGCCCCAGGACCCCTGTCACCTTCCTGCCAAGTTCCTACCTGCCCTGGACCTGTGCTGGGGAGAAAAGGGAACTGACCTTCACTCTGCCGCCCCACCACCGTCCTCCACCCCTTCAGCTAGTTGACACAGTTGGTACATAGACTTCCTTTCTCGTGGTTATCTTTTGAGTGGGTGTCTTCACCAGGGAGTTTTTCTGTCTCTGTTCCAGGCCTCTCCTGACCTGCTGCCTCCTGCTCCTTAGCTTTAGGGCCACATCCACATCTCTCTTCCTCTTGACCAAGGACCCTCTCAGACCCTTATGTTTTAATCCCATGAACCCAGAGGCCTGAATGGTTTGGGTTTGGTTCTTATTCTGTGTTCCATTCACTGGCCTGGGCACTTTTCCCTAATTTCAAGACACAATCGGTTGTGAAATCCACCATTCCTTTAATAACAGCCTGAGGAATGGGTGAATAAGAAAATGACTAAATGGCCAGGCAAGGTGGATCACACCTGTAATCCAAGCGGCCTTGGAGGCTGAGACAGGAGGATCTCGAGAAGCCAGCCTCAGCAACTTAATTAGGCACTAAGCAACTTAGTGAGACCCTGTCTGCAAATAAAATATTTTACAAATGGGCTGGGGATGTGGCTCAGTGGTTAAGTGTTCCTATTTCAATCCCCAGTACCAAAAAAAAAGAAAGACAGAAACGATTAAATGTATAGAGATTTTAAGGTGAACTCTATTACAAAATGTTAGAATGTTTAAAAACTTAAGACTTAGAGTTGAGGAAATATGATAATAATAGTAATTAATATTTGCTGAGTGTTTATACACCAGACACCTTACTAAGTAATGGACATATATTGTCTCATAGTTTCCTTTCTCCAATTTGATGATCCCTGTAGGCCAGGCATTGTGGCACAGGTTATAATCCCAGCAAATCCAGAGGCTGAGGCTGGAGGATGGCAAATTCAAAGCCAGTCTCGGCAACTTTGTGGGATCCTGTCTCAAAAGTATAAAAATGTCTGGGAATATAGCTCAGTGGTAGACTGCCTCTGGATTCAGTCCCCACTACTGCAAAATAATAATAAGTAAAGATTCCTGTAGTATCACACATCTGCCTAAACCAGACAGTAGGTTCTGGGGTGGGGGCAGGAATGGCGTAGTGATCGTGATTTGTTTCTGATTTGCCACCTCTGACTGGAGCTGCTTCCTGATTGTGGTGTAGGGCACTATCGGGGTTCCTTCCTTGAAGTGATCATCAAGTGAGAACAGTAGGCATCTTAGGGAATAGGCCTTTCTAGAGAAAGGAGAACTAGAACTATTGTTCCCTTCCTGAGTTATTATTTCTTGATAAACTCAACTAGTTGTAGTGGAATGCACAAGTAGATGTCAGTTTTCTAACAGCCTCTCCCCCTGAGCAGCTGTTCTCAAAGGACTTCCTGGAGTGGCTGGATGGAATGATGCATATATCTTTTAATTATATGTTCCTGAAAAATAATCTTTTAACAAAATTACAAACACTTTTACCTTCAATTTACACTTGCCCACATGCCTCTCTGGTCCATCTCCTGTGTGAGCTGTTACTAAACTGCCCTTCACACAACCTGATGAGGGAAGGAGGGAGGAAGAATGTGGGCCACGGAACTGGAATACATAAAGGGAGGTTAATTCAGGGGACATTATGGACCTGAACATCATAAAAGTCCCCCAATCAGTTTCCACTTTGAGGCTATAAGAGCTTTTTAATGGCTGCAGATGGACTTATTCTAGAAGATTCTTTGATCTTGAGTGTGCTGGAGGGTAAGATTAGCTTCCAGCTGACTCATCTATTTGGCTTCTTGCAACTTGAAGTTTTCCTATGAATTAGACATCCAGATGCTGAGCCAACCTACTTTTGGATGAGGGTTGCCACTTCCAAAGTGGTCTTTTCCCAGTGCAAGGAGTGAAAATCCTTCCCCAAAAAAGAAAAGTAAAAGCCAAACTTAACCTCTTAAAGGAAAAATGAAAGCATCAGTCTGAAGGAGAATCAGGGTAATTGATAGGTAGGAGGTTTCTGTAGAAACTGAAGGTCTCATGTGAGCCATGGGGATCAACATTGTGTAGGGGGAGGTTACTGGCAGAATCTGTCATTGGCCTGTAATGGTGAGGCATGTCCTCCACTCCAGTCCATAGGGGACTTTCCTGGTGAGACCCTGCTGAAAACCTATAAATTTATCTCACCTCATCTCTGTATTCTCAAGTTCCTAGAAAAGTTGGGGTTGTGGACCAGCAGAGGGCTGCTCTCATACCACCCTAGACCCTGCCAGTGCGGCCCATTCCTGCTGCTGTTAATATAAGTGTCTTGGAACAGAAGCTCAGGGAGTGTGGAAGTTCATGGAGGGAGAGAGGAATTTTGCAATTCTGCCCAGTTGACTTGGGGCATTTAATCTGACTGGACAGGGCACATTTCTTCAGTGACTTGGGTGATAGGTTCTCTGGGGCATTTGCTGCCCTGGGGCAAAGCTGTTATTTCTGAGAGCTTTCTTGCCCCTTTCTATTTCAGAGAAACTTGTATATCTTACCATATGTTCCAGAAATGGATTGTGTTTAATTGAGAACTTCATTATTATTCACTGGCTAATCATTCAGCAAATATTTGTTGAGTCAGAAATCATTGTTTACTTTGCAGTTGGGGCAGTGGACTACACACAGCAGGAAAACTGGTGTCAGTACGAAGCTGTGTTTGAAAATGGCAGAAGGAGTGGTTCATTTTTTATTGAGGAATTCATGAAAGGAAGTAATCACAGAGAGCTATCCTGGTCACCAAAGTCCTTTATTCAAGCAATTATTTATCACATATTTTTCTTAGCATTTTGCTGAGGGTCTTTTGTGTATTAGGGAAAGTACTGGGGAATTGAACCAAGGGGAGCCTCTACCACTGAGTCATATCTCTAGCCCTTTTAATTGTTTTAATTAAAAAAAATTTAAAGTTGTGGATGGACCTTTATTTCATTTACATGTGGTGCTGAGAATCAAACCCAGTACCCCACATATGCCAGGCAAGCGCTCCACCACTGATCCTACAGCCCCAGCCCCTATTTATTTATTTATTTATTTTTTATTTTGAGACACGTTCTCATTAATTTGTGGAGTCTGGCCTCAAACTTGTTTCCCCTGCCTGTGCCAGGGGAAACTCCCAGGTACAGAATTCCCACCATGGAATATCCTGTCACTGCAGAGTGTCCCCTTGCCTATCACTCCAGAATTCACAGCTCTCCTAGTTTCTCTTGCTTCCTGCCTTAGCCTCCCAAGTTGCTGGATCTATAGGTGTATACCCAAGTCTAGCTTTCTAAGAATTCTTATAGACTGTTGTTACACATATCTTTACTAGTAAAAATGTCTGAATCGTAGATCATATCATGATCATTGTCTTTTTGGGGGAACCTAGGAGTACTGGGGATTAAACCCAGAGGTGCTTTACAACTGAGCATCCCCCAGCCTTTTTTATTTTAAGATGGGGTCTCACTCAGTTGCTTATGGCCTCACTAAGTTGCTAAGGCTGGCCTCAAACTTGTGATCCTCCTGCCTCAGCCTCCCAGATTGCTGGTATTACATGTGTGCGCCATCATGCTGGCTAACCCCAGGCCTTTCTGACTCTGTAGAGCCTGGCAGGAGGAGGAAGAGTACTCCAGGTAGGAGAACAGCATGTGCAGAGCCATGAAAATAAGATTTGTAATACAAGTTTGAGTGACCATGAGCATGGTTGGCTTTGCCTCCCTTCGTGGGCACAGATGACGCCTCCTACTTGTATTCCTATAGTGTCTAGTGTAAAACCTGGTACATGCCAAGAGTCTACTAAATACTCAATGGTCTGAGCCTCAAAGGATTCCAGAAGAGAATGTGAACAATAGAAGCTTATGCTGGTGCTGTGGCTCCTCTTGACTCAAACCTGGGTTGTCAAGCCAGATGGGAGGGGTGGAGAAGGCATTTTGTCTATCCCATGACCTCACTGCCCAAAAGCCTTCATCAGGGTAGAAGGAAGGGATATGATGGTGACTGTACAGCCCTGAACTAGCTGGGCATGGTATAAACAATTTCTTTCTCCCTCTCCCTTTCTCTCTCTCTCTCTTTGGTACTAGGGATTGAACTCAGGGGCACTTAACCACTGAGCCACATCCCCAGCCCTTTTGTATATTTTATTTAGAGGCAGAGTCTCACTAAGTTGCTGAGGCTGGCTTTGAACTATTGATCTTCCTGCCTTAGCCTCCCAAGCTTCTGGGATCACAAGCATGCGGCAGGTATAGGCTAACTATCAGGAGGACTCCTGAAGACTTGGATGGGGTGTCAGAGTTGAGAACAGGTGGGGTCTAGTCACTGGACCACTAGATCTCACTGGCTCTTGGAGATTTGGGTAAATCTGTCTCTACCTTAATGAGGGGCCAGGCTTGATTGACATTCAGAAGTTACATGGCCATTTTTCTTGTCAAGAGGCATTTACCATCCAGCACCTGAATGATTATCAGAGCTGGTATAGACCATCCATGCTGGCCTGCATTTGACCATGAGGAAGCTGAGGCCTAGAGAAGACACATATGGAGCCCTTGGTACTCCGGCTAGTTGCGACTATGAACAGTCTTCTAACTCTGGATGCAGTGCCCCTTCTGCCCTTGTGAGTGGGAAGGAGGACCCTGCCTGTGCCAGGGGAAACTCCCAGGTACAGTAGAATTCCCACCATGGAATATCCTGTCACTGCAGAGTGTCCCCTTACCTATCACTCCAGAATTCACAGCTCTCCTAGTTTCTCTTGCTTCCGTACCCTTCCCATCTCTATTTCCTATTTACTCTATTAGTATAAAAATTACTCTGTAAGGCAATAACTGCACTAGTAGTTTTCCAGAGTGGGTGGGTGGTGTATTAAAGTCACCAAACACCTCAGAATGCTCCTCTTGCCTAGATGGCAAAGCACTTAAATGCAGCTTTGCTTTACCAGCAGGACACTCAGATAAGGCAAATTTAATTTAAATACCTTAATAGGCTATTATTTATGATTCTAGATCTTGTAGCATCTCATTTTATTAAGTAGAAAGAGTGATCTGATGAGCTGAGCAGAGGAGGTGTGGCTTTTTATAGACAGAAAAGGGCTGAAGATGGCAGGAACAGAACAAAACTGGATTAGTCTTTCAGAGTTGCTTTTCTTGTAAACACTAAGCAGAAGGGAACTTCTTATCATGTGGCTAAAAGTGGCCTGTTTGGGGATTTGGCTGTTCTCTTTATTGATATCTGGGAAGGTCAGAGGACAGCTTCAACTTGATGACTCTATTTTGGTTTGGTCTGTTGGGCATAATGTAGGAGCTCACTCCAAACCAATGGCTTCCTGTAAACTTTATTAACATACTAGAATAATGAATAGCCAGGTCCATAGTGATTATTGTCAAACTGAAGCTTTATTTGTCATCATGGCTCATTAAGGTACTGACATGGGTAGTTCTGAGAAACATTCCTTGGACAGGACTTTTCCTGCTCCTGACTGACCCCAGCTTCCTCCTCCCTTCCCCTTGAAGCTGGGGCAGATCAGAAGAGGCACTTAAGGAATCAAGGCATAAAGAGAAGGAGGCAAAGACAGCTCCAGCATTGCCGTTGCTTTTGTCCACTGCTCAACAGTTGCCCCCATGGGCCCTCCATGCGTATGGGTTGGGAAGCCAATAGAGCAGACCTCAGTTCTGACCTGAGCCCTTCTGAGACCAGCTCAGAGGCTCAACTCCTGAGTTCAGATCCCAGATTCACCATTAATTAGATTACCATGCCCTGTGCATGGCTATCTAATCTTTGTTTTACATTGAGGAAAGCAGGTTTAAAGATAAATAGCTTCTTACTTCCTCATAGGGTTGTTCAGAGCACCAAAGGAGATAAATTTGGCACACAGTAAACTCTATACATTTGCTGAGAGCATTGTGCTCTAAATGAGCGCTGAGCTTAGGCTGCCACTGACTGCTGTGAGTTATGGAGAATGGTATTTAACTAGAAGACAAACTCTTCCGACTATGCTCTTTCTCATGCAGAAGGCTATTGAAGCAAAGAGCACAAATGCAATGACCTTGTGAGGTGGAGAGGACAGTAGGCTTTCCAGTTCAGTTGCTCTTGGGTGAACTGGGAGGCTTCTCAGTCTGTGTCCTCATTTGCAGAGTCAGGGCATGATGCCCACCTCAAGTGGCCGTGGTGGAATACAATCATACAGAGTATGCCGTGGGTACTCATGAATGCCAACTTCACATTCTGTCCTCTTCCAGTCCCTTCAAGGATCTTCATGCCTTAGCAGAAGTGAGTACCAGTTCTGACCTGAGGGTTAGTGGTCTGTACTCTTAGAGGAGGAACAGTTGAGGCCTTTGGTTCTTTGAACACCCTGAGGGTCCTTGCTGGTAGAAGACCACAGAAATTGCTTCTTTTCTGCCTTTACATCTAATTGAGACTTTCTTGAGGTCAGCTGGATCTCTTTTCTGGGTATCCCCAGAATAAGGTGATCAGAGCCCTTAATGCAAATTAGGAGCCAAACTTAACAGTGTGCCAGATAGTCCTAGGAAGTGAACTGTGCTTTCCACTGTCCTTGGTCATCCTCCCTTTGGTGAGGGACACAGAAGAGATCTGGTGTGCTCTTGCCTGTGATCCAGAGCAAATCCCAGGACCTCTAGGTATCAGGCTGTTGTAGGGGAGCTCTTCTCTTCTGTGACCTTGCTGTAGCCTCTAAAGAATATCAAATGAGTGAATACAGGCATAATCACAGGTGACTGACTTTAACCTCACCCACCATCTGGACCCCAGGAAAGACTGAGGCTGGGAGCATAGAGAAAATGTTTTAGCAAGAGCACTCTGCCAGATGGTCCCCTGACCTGAGTCAATTGTATAATTCAGTAAATATACACTGATCATCTATTTTGTGCTGGGTAATGGGATGCTAGGCAGAGGGTGCAAAAACAAAAAGACATTTGGAGCTGGGCAGGGTTGTAACTGTGTGGTAGAAACATGAGTGATGCCCCTGAGCCTTGGGCAGAAACAGCTCTTCCTGGGGAAAAACAACATTGAGTTGGACCTGATGCAAGGAGTTTGTGGGGAGCCTAGGTAAGGTGGGCTGCAGTCAGGCCCTTTCTTAGGGGGAGTAGCTGGAGATGGGAGAGAGAGCTGTGCTTTCAGGAAAAGAAAAAACTTTGGTTTTCCTCTGGGGAAGTGGTAAGAGGAGGGTGGATGTGTGGGCAGAAGCCAGATCAAGCATTGCTTATGGCGCTAGTCAGCTGCACTGAGTGTTGAGGCTCTACTCCATCTGCTTTTCCTGCGCTACTCATGCCTTGTCCACAAGGCTGATCTCTGATGTCCAAACTCTTGCAGGTCTGTGCTCCATAAATTGGTACCAGTAACTGCTGTCTCACAGTTTGTGTGGCCTTTTGTATGTGCTTGCTTTGCAGCTGGGCAGCCTCAGTGTAAGGTGGTGCTTCAGTAGGTGCTCACAGGGCCTCTGACCTGGAATCGGAGCTCAGGGGACCTGCCTAGTGTATGTTAGTTTTTCTGTTTTCCAGACCCTGGTCTTTGCTATTATCTCTCTGCCAGTAAGTTTCAGTGGAGAGAGGCCTCATGGCCTGGGACCTGCTGAGGGAGCAGGGTTAATGTCCTTTCAGACGTTCGCCTCAGCTTCCTTCCTTGCCATTCCTAGATTCCAGATGCATTCCTTCCTCCCCTAAAAATTCCTGCCTCCATTTCTGGCCAGGGACCTGCTTCCTAACACCCTATGCCTGATCCACCCAAGCTGGGCTGATTGCCAGTACCTCTGGCCCTGGAAACCCTGAGGGTCTACTGGGGAATGCCAAGCCCCCCCGAGCCATGCACTCCACCCTTCTGGAACTGATCAGACTCTCAGATGACCATAGGACAGAGGTGATACCAGGGCTTTTTCAGGGGCAGGCTCCTTTCACATTTCTCTCCCGCTCTCCAGCATCTTCCCTTGCCCCCAGAGCAAGAGGGGCAGGCAGAGCATCACCAGCCAGCATTGCCTATGCTATGTAACTTCCACATCACCTGGGCTTCAGAACTGTGTCCTAAGCACAGGCTCTTGTGAGGCTCTGCCTGATGCAGACTAAAGGGAGTACCTCAGAGCCCTCTTCTGATGAAGGTGCGACCTTTCTCATTTCAGCTTTGGGGTCAGGTGCTGTCAGGGTTGGTATGTGGGGGATGGTGTTGTGTGGGGAAGTTAGGTAAGCCGCAGAGTGTGTGCCCGCTTCTTTTGCTTACCCCTGTTTTCTTATCCTTTCAGACTGGAGGCCAGCACTGAACCTTGCTGCCCTAGATTGTGCTGATGAGTCGAATACTGCCATCTGCAGAGACTTTAGCATTTCAGGCTTCCCTACTGTGAGGGTATGTGACAAGGAGGGGGGAGGTGAGGGTGGTGAGTGGCTCCTGTCAAGCATCTCACCAGCTGCTCTGTGCTTCCCTGGCATCTGCCCAGATGCTGCATTTCAGGGGTTCACCATTGCTTCTAGGCCTGAGTTATTTAAATCCCAGCCCCTGGAATAGTGTTCCTCTGCTGGATGAAGTAAATGTTTTAGAGGTGGAGGCAGAAAAGGAAGATTCATTTATTTTGGAAAAGTGTGCTTTTTGTAAAGGAAATGGCCCTGTGTGGGTGTGCTGGGCTGGGCAGATTTTAGCTGCTCTGAGTGAGCTGTGTGTGAAGTGACCTTCACTTCCTCACTCCTGACTTCCCAGCCTTGGAGTTCTGACCTCACTCTGTAAAACCAGGATTCAGCCTCTGACCCATCCTTAGACAGAATCAGGCTCCAGGGGCTTAATTGTGGGAGACCGACTGGCACATGACAGAGTTAATTCCCCTGCTGGGCGATGTTTCAGGCAGCATCTGTGCTGCTAGACCTCCCTACTCTTCTAGGGTTTGAGTGACTGTGTCTTCGTGCATGGGCGTGCCTTCCTACATCCCCATGGGTGGAGCTATGCTCACCTGTTCCTTTGTAATATTATCCCTTGCCCTGCTTGGAATAGAATGTTCCTTGGAAGTGCCTTGTGTGAGTCCCCTTCTCTTACTGTGCCCTTGGGTGTGGCCTACCCAGATGTCAGTCAACCTGCTGACAGCAGACATCATGAAGCTAGACTCAGCCCCTTGAAACCTGACCCCTTGCCTCATTTAAATAGCTTCTCCTCAATAAAATGGGTCAGCACGTGCGTGCTCTCTCTGTCTCTCTCTCTCTTTCTGTGGACCCTTAAGGTCAGAGGAGCCATCACAGCACCCCCAAAGAAAAAGTATTTGTGTCTTTTGTGTGGTATTTTGCACAGCCCAGTCCCCTGGAGTGACCCCTGAGTGTTTTAGTCCTGAGCAACCCGGCACTTAATGTTAGTTCCTCAAAGGAATCCCAGAGACACTGACAAGCCTCGTCCTTATCAAGCAAGGGGTTTGACCTACAAGTGCTCATAGAGCAGCTTCAGCCCACAATGGAGATGCCAGTGCCTCAGAAAGCAGGGATCCATGACACAGAGTTGTCACACCCGAGGCATGAGGACTCTTTCACCCAACTCTTGCAGAAGGAGCCACGAGCTCTCTGATGATGCTTGCCTGCCAGCTTGCCCACCACAGGGCACCAGCAGCTTGATCAATGTCTGAACAACTTCCCAGACTCTAAATTGGAGGCCCAGCACAACCCTGAGCAGCAAGGATGCTGCAGTTATAGTGAGGGCCCTCCCTGGACTCAGGCCTGGCTCTCATCCAGTTAGTTTTCTTCTAAGTGTAAGAGACCAAGTCCAATTCCTTCTTCCTGCTATAAAATGATATGCTCCCCCTCATCAGAATGGCAGCTAAAAAAGCAGTGTCCTCTATAGCCATTAAGAGTAATCAGGAAATGCCTTTGAAAGCTAAAATGCCAAGTTTTGTCCCTGGAACAAAATAACCCTGAGCTCAGGGACCTGGAGTTCTAAGCAGACTTATGAGCTGGAACACAGCCTAATTACCCAGCAGCCTTTATCTCCAGGAATGTCCAGCTCTGACTCCACACCACCTTTCTGTTTCTCAAGGCTAGTGAAGTCCTGCTGGATTCAGGGGTTTCACAGCTCAACAGAGGGCCCTTTCTAAACTATTGCCTCTTAGGGTCAGGGCCCAGGTCCAGGCTCTGAGGCCAGTCTGGTCTGCGGGACAATGCAGCAAGTGAGTAGCTTCTGCCACATTATTTAGAGCTGGTAGGAAAAAGACTGCTTAGCCATCATCCATTTGAAGTAGACTTCCCTGGCAAGGACATTGCTCTGTCCTCTGCCCCATGGTATGTAAGTAAAAATGGGGTGCCTTGTGCTGGGCCAGGGTAGCACTGAGTGGGAAGTGTAGGAATACCAATGTGGCAACAGGAGCTGTCATTCACAGGCTGACAAGGGTGCAGCCACTGCCCAGTACCCTAGCATTGGTATAGTGGCCAGTCAGAACAGCCTGTTGGGGTTCCTCAGGGCTCAACACCTGGGGCTTTCTGTTTTACCTGGGAGAGGCTGGGCCCAGTATGTATGAAGGAGGCAGTAACAGGTGCAGAGGCTCCTCAGCAACCTCCCCAGGTCACGCAGCACACGCAGCCTGGATGCCTCAAGTGATTAATCACTCTCTACCCACCCAGCCGGCTGTGGGAGGGGCTAGGAGGGCCTTAGCTGGTCTTCTTGGCCTTTCCCTGTCTCCAGACAGGCAGCACCTGGCTGGGCCAGTCTGGTAGTCAGCTGTCCATTTCTTAAGCTCTCCAGAGACTAGCGTGGCCTTCCTTGGCGAAGCCTTCTCTTCTCTCCTGAGGAACCTGGTCCTCAGCTTCAGCCAGGGGAAGCACTCAGTGCCCTGGCTTCAGGACTCTAGGTCATGGCCAAGCAGTTTCAAGCTGCTAGGGGGTCCTTGCTCTAAGGCTCTGTGCTGTGGTTTTCAAACGTTTTCTAACTGTAAGAAGTCTCTATTTTACATTGTGATCCCAAAATTGGTTTGTATCTGTTGATAAAACAAATTTCACAATGTATATTCTTATTAAGTGCAATATACTGATATTTTCATTTAAAAAAAATACTACGTTTCACTAAATTGATTTTTACAACTAGTGCTTTTTAAAACACTACTCAGATTTCATATCTCCAGAGATTCTGGCCCTTCTAGAGCCTTGTGCACCTGTGGGCACTGTGGCTGGGCTCCTGGAAAGGAGAGCAGATCCCAGAGGCCTGTCCTGCAGTACCTGCCATGTGCTGCCCCTGGGAACTGGAGCCTGACTGTGCTCACTCTTCATATAAATGTTATGGGAGCCCTGAGGACCCATGCTGAGCAGGGGGAGAGAGTGTTGCTGATATCAGTAAGACAGTTCACCATAATTTTCTGGCCACAGTCAGTGACATACCTCACTGACCTTTTCTATGCCTCCTGCCCCTTGTCACCATAAACAGAGTGAGCTTCTACCAGCCCAGCCTGTTTAGCAAACAGCTGGCCCTGAAGGGCAGGCTCTGGCTGTGTCAGATCCCCATCAGACCGGAGCTGGAATCCTGGAAGAAAACAAAGAAACAGGGAGGGAGGGGCTGGTTTGCAGTAGGTTCTGGCTAGGCTACTGAGGAGGGGCCTTTCTCTGGGCCACTGCAGTGCCCCTCTGTGGGCAGTGGAATGGGACCCTTTGTGGCCAAGGCTTGGCTGAAGTGGAGGAGAGGACATGTCTTTCCTTTGCAAGATACCAAGGAGATCATGATGTGGGTTCAGATCCAGTCTCCTCTGCTTTCTGGGTGACACTTGGCCTGTTTCGCTATCTATAAAAAGGACTGACAATGCCTGCCTGGTGGGACTGTAGTCACACATGAAGCCAGGCCTTGCCTGTGAAAGTGCTAAGAATGGGTTTTATTTGGGGTTCAGTAAATGAAATTTTTCTTACTTCTCGTTGTCCCCGGGGTGGGGGGCTGGCGGGTGGCCAGTAGCAGCTAGTGAGGGGATGTTTGCTGGGTGCTCAGCACTGTGGGAGAGGCCAGGTGTATGCGTCTGACACGAGGACACACACTAACTGGCTGAGTGGTCCAAACAAGGCGAGGACAGGAGGAATGGGCCCAGGCACTTCCTGAGCTCCTCCTTACTCATCAGAGAGGACATTTTGTAGGAGGGAACTTCTGCATGTGTTGAAGGATGGGTGGCGTTGTCTAGGACAGGGGAGGAGCATAGCAGAGCACCACATAAGAGGGAGTGGGGGGTGAGAGTATCCCAAAGTCAGACTCTTTGTGGGCAGAACCGTGTGGCATATTGAAGGGACTTGTTGGGCAGAGGCTTATGTTTGGGGTAAGGCAGGGCAGGGGAGGAAGGAACCCAGTAATGGCAGGTCCTTGAAAGCCAGGCTGGTAGCGTAGATGCCCTATAGAGTGTCAAGTCAGCTGTTATCTTATGTGGCTCCTGCTATGAGGGTGGATGTCAGGGGTGAGGGCAGGGCTCAGAAAGATGTCTCCTCTGTGTTACCTGCCGTCTCCCAGCTACCTTCCTGTCCACAGCACAGGAAGTGGCTAAGGTTGTCTGTCCTCGTGGGCTCACCATAAAATACTTGGAGATTGGGTCATTCTTCTGAAAACCTGTTAATGGAAGTTTGCGTTCAGTGCCATGGTTGGTCACAGCTGGGAAGCATGCCCATGTGCAGCTGTGTGGTCCCCAGGGAGGCAGTCCTTCTGTAGGTTCCGGTTGGCCTGCCTGGTACCACCTGCTTCCCTGCTTCTGGGGAGAGGCAAGGACCTCACAGGTGCCCCACCGGCAGGAGGGCAGAGCTCCTGTCTTGTGTAAAGAGATAAAAGGGGCAGGCACAGATGCCCTGGGGAAAAGAAGACTCACTCCCGAAAGCTCAGTTGCCTGTTTCCAAGGGGTTGTGGTGGTTTCCTGGGGCAGGCACACGCTTCCAACAGCTACTTAATAAGTAGAAAAAAATGTGTCCTGACTAGATTTTCACCTGAGCATCCAAGGTGATCAAAGTACAGAGTTTGTGTTCAGCTGAACAGTCTGTTGAGTACCTCCGTGTGCTAGATGCTGTGCAGGCTCGGCAGGGCTTGCAGAGATGAATGCATTCTGTCGCCTCCTGGTTGGGTGGAAAATTCTAGTCCTTTGTAGCTGGAGTATAGGGAATGGGTAGCAGTAGGAAGTCAGTTTGGTTTCAGATTCTGGAAACAAGTTGTGGAATGCTGTAAATTTGGACCTTATTCATGTGCACTGGGGAGTTAATGGAAGAGATTTGAGGAGGAGTGACATGTTCAGACCAGAATTGTGCCTTAGAAAGCTAACCTTGCTGGCAATGAGAAATAAAAAGATGGAGCATATTAAATTTTCTGACTTGTGAAAGGAGAACAATAGGGACAGATGCAGTAATCTAGGAAATAGGTTCTCACCTATTGGCTCTGCCTAGACAAGGCAACAGGTGAAGAGAGAGAGCTGTTGAAGAGTATCCTGAAGTCAGACTCTCAGAATCTCAGTGGGAGAGGGAGAAGCTGGTCTGGATGACAGGGAGGAGGACCAATTACTGGGTGAGATAAGAAACAGGTTGGAGAAGCAGGTTAAAGGAGGGTGATTCACTCTTGGTGTGTGTGTGGGTTCCCTGACATCTGTACAGAGGCCACCAAGAGGAACCATAAGTCTAGGACAGGTGAGGACCTAAGACAGGTGGTTCAGATTGCAAATCAGTTGGAGAAAGTAGATGATTTTGGTGAGGGAGAAATGATGGGCATGTTCTTGAATCATGTATTCAGTCACTCATTGAAAGGCATAGACTGGGCCCAGCACCACACACACACACACACACACACACAAAAGGCGTAGACTGAGCCTCCTTTTTGTGACAGTGCCTTCAAGGGCTCGTTAAACACAACAGTGCCACAATCTGATGTGTGGTGGCTGCCAGAGAGCTGGGGGCAGGAGATGGCAAGGACAACAGCACAGGAGAGCAGTCATAGGTGCAGCTAGAAGAGGGTAGCCAAGGAGGGCTGGTCCATGGTAAGCAAAGAGGGGAGGTGGTGGTATGCAAGCAGAGAGAATATCAAGGAAACATGGAATATCAAGAAAATGTGGCACAAAAAGTGACCCACACCAGCCATGGAGATGAGAAGCAAACAGGAATATCATCAGATACTATGGGGAGACCAGGAATCACTGGAGCAGCCAAAGAGAATGTCACCAGCAAGCTTTCCCAGAACACTGTCAACCAGTGGTGGAGCAGGCACCAGAGCCAGCTGGTTGGGGAACCTAGAGAGAGGTCAGAGAAGTGGGAAGAGGGTTTTGAGATATTTGGCAGTGAGGGGAGGGGAAACGGGAAATGCAGGAGAAGGGAGGAGTCTTCTCTTCACTCCACCTTCCTCCTCTTTCTGTCCTTTCTTCTTTTAAAGTTTGCACTAAAGGGGTCTAGGACAGGTGAGGACCTGTCTTAGGGAAGGGGAAGGATGAAAAAGATAATTGATAGGGAAAAGTCCCCAAAGAGTATGCTGCGTGGGAACCAGAGCTCTGGTGGTGACATTGTTTTAGAAAGTAGAAGGGAAGCTTCTGAGGACAGAAGGAGGGAAGGCAGAGTGACAGTACAGTGGCTAGGAGTGGAAGCAGAGCCTTCCCTTAGCCCCGTACCTCATGAGGGTCCCTTGGAGTCCCTGTGTTCCCCCAGGTAACTCTTAATGCCACCTCCCAGCTTGTATGGTTGGGTCTGAGATTTAGCAGGGGCTGAGGGGGTGCTTGATGAAGGGAAGATCGGTCTCTTTTAAGGCAGGTAACCTGCTCAGACTTGGGTGACCTGATGGCTGATGAAGGAAAGGTACTGGTTACCTCTCAGATCTGAAAGTGACAGCTGTAGGTATGTGAAGGGCCTACAGTTCAAGGCTTCAGTATGTCAGAAGTGTTCTTCTGCCTGGGAAGCAAGGTGCAGTCTGTCCTGTCTGTAAATACATAAGGACGACACCAAGTGACTGCAGATGCAAAACTTCTATTTTATTTTTGGGAAGCAATGTCTGCCCACAAATGCCTAAACATATATTATCAACTTGGTCTCATGTCACAATTCTGGAATGTGTGATCATTTTTATAGGTATTACGATAACATAATTTTACTACGTCAAGATTTGTTTAAAACACTCTTAAAATATGTGTGGCATGTGTAAATGGATTGTTTTCACTTATGAATAAAAGTTGATATTCATGTTTTAAAAAGAGAATAAACAGAGAGCAAGTTAGGGGCCAGGTGAGGTCAGAAGGAGCAGGAGAAGGCTGCAGCTGAGGAGATGGTATTTCTTTGCAGTCTGTTCTTTGTGTGGGTAAGGGGGGTAGAGTTGGTCTCCAGATTTTAGTTTCCTGCCTACACATGGTCAGAACACACAGTCCTAGCTTATCAGCATTTCCTAGTGTTTAAAAGGAAGAAGAGAAAGGAATAATTATGTCATGCTGTAGTTAACATTTAGTGATTTCTGTATGTACCAAGCACTTTAGATGTGTTGTCATTGAATCTTCACAATTCAAGGTAAGTGATGTCATCCTCATTTTAAATATGATATACTAAGGTTCAGAGAGGTTGATGGGTTGCCAAAGGTCTCACAGAGTATAGCAGAGGCAGGTCTTAAAGATCCCAGGGCCATTCAGCCATCAGCTTGTGGTAAGGCCAGGTGGCTGTGCTTTTAGAGGCAGCGGCCCAAAGTAGCTAAAAGCAGCCCTGAAGTTAAGGGCCTGGAGGCAGAAGCTTCTTCTTTGCCTTCAGGCTCTTCCTCAGGCAGTTAAGTGATTGTCCTTAAGGAGGACAGCTCTGTTCTTTCTTGAGTTAGGAGGGCACAGGCAAGGGCCTTGGCCACTGTATTGCCACTTGGGCAGAAGCCCAGATTCTAAAGAGTTGTCCAGTGTTCTCTGTCCTCGTGCGCCAAGGAGGGACAGATTAGGCCTGGGGTGTCATGTACATGGGAAAGGAAGACAAAGTGATGAATCAAAGTGGCCTTTTTCCTGAGGGAGCAGCTGAGTTGAGAGAATTGTGACCCTCTCCCTTCCCAGTCACGGTGTATGCTCGACCCTTGACATCTGTACTCTGAAAAGGGGGCGTCATCTGGCAAAAATGTCACTTTGCCTGCTGTGTTCAAGGCTCTAATTAGATCAGATATTGTGAACTTTGTTCACACCAACTTGTGTAAAAACACCAGACAGCCCTGTGCTGTCAGTGAATTAGTAGGCCATCAGACCAGCGCTGAGTCTTGGGCTACTGGCAGAGCTGTGGCTCGAATTTCCAGAGTTCAAGGTGGTGGGAACCACTGTTCTGGCCGGGTGCCTTTGGAAACGTGTAGAGGAGGCCACATGTTTGCACCAACCAAAACATGGCATCTTTGACACCGTAGAGTGAACACAATCCAAAAGCGCTATGCCATCTGCTCTGCCTTGGCTGCCTCAGCCTTACCAGTGCTGGTCATGTCTGAAGGTCATAGAATTGAGGAAGTTTCTGAATGCCCTTTGATGGTGGAAGATAAAGTTGAAGGTTACAAGACTACCAAGGAGGCTGTTTTGCCGCTTAAGAAACTTAAACCCTGGAATGATGTCAAAAAGGTCTATGCCTCACAACGAATGAGAGCTGGCAAAGGCAAAAGAAGAAACCATCCTCGTATCCAGAGAATCCAGCACAGGGGGCCCTGTGTTATCTACAATGGAGACAATGGTATCATCAACGCCTTCAGAAACATCCCTGGAATTACTCAACTTAATGTAAGCAAACTGAACATTTTGAAACTTGCTCCTGGTGGGCATTTGGGGCATTTCTGCATTTGGACTAAAAATGCTTTTTGGAAGTTAGACGATCTGTGTGGCCCTTGACATAAAGTGCTTCCCTCAGGAATAACTATAACCCCCCTGTTCACAAGATGATCAGTGCAGACCTCAGCAGAATCTCGGAAAACCCAGAAATGCAACAAGCTCTCAGGGCACCATGTAAGATTCATTGCAGAGTCCCAAAGAAGAATCCATTGAAAAATCTGAGAATCATGTTGAAACTAAATCAATATGCAGAGACTATGAGCCGGAACCCCATTCTTCACAGGCCAAGAATCACAAACTCCAGGTGGGTAAAGCAGAGGCAGCAGCCCAATCAGATTTAAAAAAAAAAGATCCGAAGGGGGTTGCAGGCAAGAAGCCTGTGGTAAAAAAGCAGGAAAGAAGGATGTTGGTGTTAAGCAGAAGCAGCCTGTGGGGGAAAAGGCTGCACCTTCCAAGAAACCAACAGCTGAAAACAAACCTCTTTTATTCCATAAGATCAAATAATTTTGGATAATTTATTTTGAATAAAGAACGGATCACAAAAAAAAAATACAAAGTGGGCTGTGTGTGACAGACTTGTTCCCCACCCTGTGGTAGGTCCTGTTCTGGAGCCCCTCCCTTCATTTACCTGCTGTGGCAGGCTGTCAGTGCTCTGTGATGGGACACCAGCCTGAAACCCCTTTCCCCAGACAAGGAGCAAGGACAGACTGACAGAGAGGAAAGCTGACATTTTCTAAGGGGCATATAAAGTGTTTTCTTTGTAATTTTTTTTCACATGAGTCTAAGGAAAAACAGCAATGGTTCTTCACCACTTGCGTATATAGTCATGTGTGAGCACTAGTGCTTTATGTAAAGAGCTTGTCTCTAGTGAGGTCTGTGAGCTGTCACCTCCAGCTTCCGTGTGTGCTTCAGCATTGTGGGGGCAGGGATTAAGTGGAGGGTAATGGAGCAGGGAATCAGTGTCCAGCCTTCAGAGAAGAACCTGCTGGTTTTTATTTTACAGATGAAGAAACTGAGGCTCAAAAAAGTAGTTTGTCCAAAATGATCCCAATTTATAAGCAGCTGGAGTTTAAACTGGGTCTGTCTGACACCACTCTTGTCCTCTTTGCCAGCATGAATTGCTGACTCTTGCCTTTGTGTTTTCTTTCAGTTCTTTAAGGCCTTTTCCAAAAGTGGAGTTGGAACAACGTTACCAGGTGGGTGTCCTGGCTCTGCCACAGTGTGCGTTATCAATGTCTTGCTCTCCTTGATTCCCCCTTCTTCCTGGCCTTCTACTGGGTGAAGAGTCCCCAAGGGAAGCCTTATACATTTTCCTCTGTCAGCCTGGAAAAGACCCTAGGAAAACCAGGCTGAAGAAACTCCTTCAGGTGTGACCCATCCTAGGTTTGGGGGTGGGACGAAGGGCACCACATCTCAAGAATAGCCTTCATGTCAAAATGGGGTTGGTATCAGGGCAGACCAGACAGCCCCTGGAAGAGCCCTCAGAGGCCAGTTTGCGGGGGACTCCTTCCTTCCCTCTGAGGGAAGGGGCTCCTTGCTTTGCTTCAGGTCACAAGAGGAGCCCCGCTCCCCAACTTTGAGATAGGACTGTATGTGTCTCTCTCAGGACTGGGCCCTTGTTGCTGCGTGAGGCTGGGAGGGCACAGATCTGTTCTTTCCTAACTACCCGCTCATGCCTGTTTTCATTTACAGTGGCTGGAGCTGATGCGCAGACCCTGCGGGAGAGGCTCATTGAGGCCCTGGAGTCCCACCGTGACACATGGCCCTCAGCTTGTCCACCACTGGAACCTGCCAGGTATTTTGGGCTTGGGGAAGCTGAGCACAATGTGGGCCGGGTCCTGCACCTGGGAGCAAGAGGGTGGTGTGCCGCAGTCTGGCTGGGCACAAAATCACGAGCCACCACACACCTTGTAGATTCAAACAGCAACTCTTTATTCTCGAACTATCACCGGCACTTTACACACACGTTCTGGGCAAATCCACGTTCTGGGCAAAATCCACACACTCCACCGGGCTCTGAAATCCAAATACTCTCTGAATCCCGCGACGGGAACTCAAGGAGCGGGCCTGCCTGAGGCAGCAGGATACGCCCTATTCCCAGCAGGGTATACCTTAAACCTGGAACCGCCCTAAACCCAAGGAGCGGGATACTCCCTAATCCCAGCAGGATACACCCTCAACCTGGATCCGCCCTGGTCCTTGAGCAAGGTCACCTTACATGCAATGTCACTGCAAATGACCTGGGTCATGCCATGTGTCAAACCTACTTGGCAATGGCTCTCAGCAGTGGTGGGAGCCCTAGGGCAGGGACCCATGTTGATTCGTTGCCTGTGGGGCAGACTCACAGTTCATCAGAGCCCAGAGACACCTGGGAGAGACTGTTGCAGTTTCCTCTTGCTGCAGGTTCTGAGGCCCTCTGTTCTTCAGCAGCAGACTGAGGGGCCAATGGTCCATTCTTCTGGGTGGGAAGGAGAGGACAGGTGGGGGATCTCCAGGTTATACCTGTTGTTCCCTGCCTATTCTCAAGAGTGTTGGAGGAGCAGCTGGATTTCACAGGATCTAACCCAGGGAAGGCCACTGACAGAATTGGGGGTGGACAGGAGATCAAATACCATTTAGAAGAGAGGGGAAAGGGGCTCAGAAAAGTAGGGGGTTTGTCCCTATGAATAGAAGAGGGCTGTTTTTCTGAGTGGTGGCTGTGACTGGGGTAGGGAGCAACCTTGGCTCCCTGTGCCACAGAGCATCCGGTGTGGTGGCTGGTGTTCTATACCCACCTGCCAGGCAACCTTCCATGTTGCCTCTTTCCTAGGAAAATTAGGATACTGCAGTGTTTGTTGTCTTGCACAAATTCTCCCGTAAAAGGAGACAGGCAGACTAAGCACTAGACCCCCAACTTCTGGATGAGAACTGAGGATAGGATAATGCCTACCATGGGGACTCTTGCCAAGAGGGAACAAGTTCAGGTACCAGCAGAGACAACTGAGAGAGCCCAGCCTCCAACACAGCAAGGTCCTAGAGCTGGGAAGGCTGCTCAGGGCCAGTGTTTGCTTGATGCTTTCTAGGCTTGTGTGCTGGTGTCCTTCAAAGCCACAGCCCTGCTGAAAGTTTGTGTTTCTAGTATCAGTTGGGGTTAATCCAACTCACAGTGACTGCTTTATCGTCTCTCCCAGTTCACCCTCCTCCCAGAGGGCCTTGTGGAGACCCTGGGCTGCCCAGCATATGATCCTGATATGGGTTGGGGTTTCTCAACCAGACCCCATCCCTTTGGGAAATACCTCCGCCACTCTGATGCTTCCTTCTTCATTTCTTGATGATTGTGTGTCTGTCTCTTACACACATAAGTACTTCTCCCATGGTGCATTTTTTAGCCCTGGGGATCTCCAAATAACAAATTGGCCAAATCTCCCATCTTCTCTCCAACTGACCCTCTTAAGCCACCATTTTCAGGCAAAGGTACATGGTGAAAGAAGTCACCTTTTCTAGGAAGCTGAGGATTTGCCCTTCTGCCAGCTGTGGGCAGGCTTAGGGACATAGTCTGAGAGGCTAGCCACCTGATGCTACCCCCGGAGGCTGTGGTATCTGTGACACCTCTTTATCCACTGAGTCGGGTGCACTCTGACTCCCACCTCTCTGGCATACCCAATCGTCCTGTCATCAGGCTGGGCTCTGGCAACAGCCCCATGTTGCACCTCTCTCTGGGGCTGATTGCTGCCATGTCCTTGGATCCAATAAAGGGAAATGAAGTGCCAAGTTGAAGATAAAAAGATGTGGTTGCCTTTTCCCTGTGACTTCTCACCTGTCAGCCTCTTAAACATGCATGCAATGTTGTTGTTTTTAATTTTTTTTAGTTGTAGTTGGACACAATATCTTTATTTCACTTATTTATTTTTATGTGGTGCTGAGGATCGAACCCAGTGCTTTACACATTCTAGGTGAGTGCTCTACCACTGAGCCACAACCCCAGCCTGGAATGTTTTTAATAAGAATAAGGAATCAAATCATTTTTGTATTATTTTCTATTGAGACAGAGTTTTTAAAACAAATTATAGTATACTTCCCCGATTGTGGGGATAAAATTTGCCTTTTTAATCATTTCCACCTGAGAAAGCTGGGCCTCAGCTTTCTCATCTTAGACTCATCTTGGATTTTGTTAGCTTGGAGGTCTCCTGCACCTAGGACTTTCTGGTTCTTTGGTTCCCCTTTTTGCCCACTTCTGAGAGGAACTTGCAGTTTTCCCACTTGGTGTGACTTTCCACAGGGTCAAGGCTCGTATCTGATGGGTTCTAATCACCATTCTCCTAGGGGAACAGTAAAACCATGTCCAGTAACCCTGGGCCTTACCCAGAACACAGTGACATCTGGGTCTCAAAGCATCCTTGCCAGTCCTTCCCAGCCTGCCTCCTGCTCACTCCTGACTCCTAAAATAGGAAGAAAAAAACAAAAAACCCAAGGTGGTTCTCTGAAGAACCAGAGTAAGGTAACAGGGGCAGCATCCTTTGAGACCAAGGGTTTGGCTTTCTCTCGCTGCAGGACTGGCAGAGGGAGAAGAGTCTCCATGAGCCACAGGGTAGTGTGGCTGGACTTGCAGCACTGCATTGTCAGTTATGCCTTGTTCCCACTGGCTGTGGAGAGAGTGACCTCCTGAGTTGTCTCTTGCAGGCTGGAAGAGATTGAAGGATTTTTTGCAAGAAACAATGAAGAGTATCTGGCCCTGGTCTTTGAAAAGGAAGGCTCCTACCTGGGTAGAGAGGTGAGGTGATGCCTCTGTTTTCCTGCAACTCTGGGATAGCTGCTGGGAGGAAGTCCCAGTTCAGAAACAGCTTTTCCTGCCAGCACTGGGATCTTGGCCTTTTGCGTTTCTTAGTCTGGCACCAGCCTGACCCCTGCTGGGGGAGATGGGAAGTGTAGGAGCTAAGCCTTTCTGTTTATAATCTCTGTTCATTCTTAATCTCCTTCACTGAAACCAAACATAACTGAAAACTGCTGCTTTTCGAGTATAGGAATAGGTTGATGACATATAGCTGCTGATCACCACAACTAGCAGACCACCAAATATGTCCAGGATCACATGGCTGGTAAAGTAGAACACGGCTTTGGCCCAGGTCTGTCTGGTTTCAAAGCCTGTGTTTTTTTTTTTTTTTTTTTTTTTAAAGAGAGTGGGAGAGAGAGAATTTTTTAATATTTATTTTTTATTTCTCAGCGGACACAACATCTTTGTTTGTATGTGGTGCTGAGGATCGAACCCGGGCCGCACGCATGCCAGGCGAGCGCGCTACCGCATGAGCCACATCCCCAGCCCAAAGCTTGTGTTGTTTCCACATTGCCCCAGCCACATAGAATTGGAATAGAAAATTGGGGAGGGGGAGACATTAGAGATGGCCCAGTCCCCTCATGAAGAAATGGTGTCCTTTACCAGGCGGTACAGATTGAATTTCCACTCCATCATTTATATGGTATGTCTTTGGTCAAGTTATTCAACTTTTTCAGCCTCATCTCCTTGTCTATAGAGTAGTGATGGTTATGTTTCTTCCTAGCATAGCTGGACAGTTTAGGTAACAGCACATGGGTTAGTAGCCAGCACATGGTAGGTGCTTTATAAAGCTCTATCCCATTGTCTAATGCAGAGAGCACCTGCTCTGCTGTTGGCTTGTGGACTTCCCTGCAAACTGCCTGGGAGCTTTTCCCAGATTAGAGTGGGAGGCAGTTCAGGGAGATAAGACCTGAAGGGGTGATGGGGAACACCATGGTGGTCCCAGATGGCTCTCCTGCAGAAATAAGTTGATGGTGCTCTGGATCTAAGCCAGAAGCTCTCAGGGCACTTCAGCTCCTCAGAGAAAACACAGGGAAGAGGGAGGTAGAGGGCAGCTTTGCTGAAGGAGTATCCAATTCTCAGGGTTCCCTGTCCATGCCTGGGGCCAGGCTTGTTAGGCAGGTGTGATTGATAGATGCTGATGGGAATCAGCTCTTTTCCCCTCATCCCGAGTTCCCATAACCAGGACAGGGCCCCATGGATGGAGCCCGCAGTTCTGTGTTCATGCGGTCATGCTTAGGAGGGTGAATTGGAGAGGCAAGACGGTGGTATGGCTGAAAGTCAGGTTCTGGAGTTCAGGCCCATGTTAGCCGTGGGACCTAGAGACATGAGTCACTTCTGGTGGTTCTTCAACTACAAATCTTTTTTAAATAAATACTTACAAAGTGCACCACCTCTTGGGTGGTGTTTGACACTTGTTACCTGTGGGCTGGAATCTTGTGGTGGCACAAGACTGTCATTCTTCACTGTGGTCTACTCATAGAAAGGCTTTGAGTCTGAACAGAGTATAGCTGCCAACTGGTGCCTACCCAGCACTGAACTGGGACTCAGCCCCTGACCCCCTTTACCCAATGGCATGGCCCCTCAGATGTCTTACTGTCTCTGCAGGTAACTCTGGACCTATCCCAGCACCAAGGCGTGGTGGTGCGCAGGGTCTTGAACACGGAGGGCAATGTGGTGAGCAAGTTTGGTGTCACTGACTTCCCATCTTGTTACCTGCTGTTTCGGAATGGCTCTGTCTCCCGAGTCCCTGTGTGAGTACTTTGTCTCCCTGCTCTCTCTCCCTCCTGTGCTCCTTCTGCCTGTTGCCTGCTGCCTGCTTGCCTAGAGAGGACACAGCCCTAGCAGACAGATCCTTTCTCCCTGGAGATTCTTTGGAGGACAGGAGGAACACCCTGCAGGAGAAGTAGATGTCTGCCCTCTGTGTGGGACAGGGCCCTATGGCCTCCACAGCTCAGAGGTCCTGCCACAGTCCTGACTGCTTCTACACCACCCACACCCAGCCTGTTTCCCATCCTTCCCTATCTGTAGACAAACTCATTGGCAGGCTTCAGGCCTGGCAAGGACTCAAATATGCTTGACCCTCCCTCCCTTTGGTTTTCTAATTGCAGAAAAGTTCATTAGGAGCCAGACAATAGCCTGTTCCAAAATGCTGAGAGAAAACAATCAGGCTAGCCTCAGCCCCACTGTCAGGCTCTTGCTGCTGAATGGCCCGTTAAATGGCGCCAGATGGTGCCTTGGTGCCCTCCCTGGGCAGATGATTGATGTCACCCTGGCCCCACAGGCAGCAGCTCGAGGGCAGGGTGATCCAGGCTCGCCTGAGGTGCCCAGTGAGTTGCCCCTCGGGGCCATTAGTGCCATCCTACACTGACACTGGGCATGGTGGACACTTGCCCTTGCTCTGGCCCAGATCACCAGGCAGCTCTGGAGCAGGCCTGTCAGAGACTCAGGAAGCATGATGGCCACAGGGGGATGGTAGGGCTAGATTCTGGGCAGGCCCAGAAAGTGCCAGTCCTGGTGGGGACAAGAAGCATTGTTTCCTCACTTGGAGTTGGTGGAGGGGAAAATTGTTTGTGACGATGCTGCTCCCAAGCCATCTGCTCATCGATAAATGCTGGGCCAGGACAGTGGAGTGGAAAGCAGAGTTTCCTGATGCCAGCTCCCATGGGCACTGCAGTGCACTGCTGCTGGGCATGGTCTTTCTTCTGCCCCGTGGCCTGAGCCTGGTGAGGGAAGTTTGTGCTCAGGTGAGGTTTCTTGCCCTTGAGGACTCCTCTGTATCAGAAGAGAGAAACCAAGAGATTTGGAGGATCCTGGCTATTGTTATTAAGATTTCTTAATCACTTATCAAACTCCCTTAACTTCCTCCGGAAGAAATGCCACCTCTTGACACCTCAGAGCAGGCTATGAGGGGGGCTGCCTTGAGGTTGGTGCCTTCTGGAGCCTTGGGTCTGTGGGGAAGGGAGTCAAGCCCAGCCATCCCTGTCCATGGGCAGGACTAACACTGTGCCCAGAGGGGCCCACTTCCCTGCCAGGTGCCTGTCCCACTCCCTCCTGACCTGGCCCTCCTGGATATAGCTGCTTTTCCAGATGGTTTCCTGCAACAGTCTGGTATCCCAGAGGCTTTCCCTAGTGTGCAGTGAATGGGAAGGTTGATGTGAGGCCTGGGAGTCCCACCTTTGACCTCCAAAACAAGACGGAACCAAGTTTGTAAACTTCTTCATAAGCCTTTCTGTCACCCTGCTTCATTCTGACATTGATCAGCCTCCCTGTGCCCTCTTCCCCACAGGCTGGTGGAATCCAGGTCCTTCTACACTGCCTACTTGCAGAGGCTCTCTGGGCTCACCAGGGCGGCTCCCCAGACCACAGCTGTACCTACCATTGCTGACAAGGTAGCACCCACGGTGTGGAAATTGGCCGATCGGTAAGGCCATGTCCTGTTCTCCACTTACCCCCTCCCCCTCTGTGACAGACACTGTCTTGCCCGTCCAGTTGCTGTCATAGGTGTAGCATCTGCTGTTCTGAGCCTATGCTCCCCCATCCCTAAGGGCTGGTCTTGGCCTTTGGGGGTGCCCAGCTGCTGGCCATGCATAGGAGAGCCTTGCTGTGTGACTTAGCTAGTGGCCTCAGTGTCTGCTGACTGGGCCCCATGCCGTACGTATGTAGAGACTGCTGAATAGCATACATGTCCCTCACAGTGGAGGGAATACTGTCCAGCGCCCACCTGGCTGAAGCTAAACTCTATTCAAGAATAAGTAGATCAGCTTGGAAGGATACTCAGCGGCCTGCAAACCAACTCCCCATCCCTGCTAGGAAGATGCCCACCTCACTGGAATGCCTCTGGTGTCAAGGAAAAGTAATTTTTCCAGGTAGTTCATATCTTTGTGCATGGTTATAAGCATGAGAAAGCTGCTATTATCTCTTAAGCTCCTTGGCTTTGCTCCTGTAGTAGACATCCTGTTTGCTGGGCAGGGAGATGGTGCTGTGGACCTCTGCTCTGGCACCCAGATCTGTACCAAGGGGAAATATCTGTGTAGCTCAGAGCTGGGTCAGGAAAGTGACCTCCATGAGAGGGCTGAACAAGAAACTTGTGGGAAGGTCCTAGAAGGGCTTCAAGAAGGAATTGCATCTAGCATATGGGATTTAGGGTGGTGAGGACCAATGGAGAGGTTTTTAGTAATAAAGGAGAAGGAAAGAAAAACCAAGAAGTGGTAGTGGTCATTATGAGCATTCAAGTTATGATTATTTGCTCAGAACATAAAACAAAGCTCAACCTTTCACTGATGGTCTGATGAGTGAGCTAGAGAAGTTATGATTATATGATAATTATTACACATTAGTATAATAGCTGATGTGCCCAGCTCTGTGCTGGGGACCTTCCTTACGTTATCTCATGCAGTGAGAGTCCCTTCTTGAGGCAGAAACAATTATGGAGAGGAAAACTGAGGGCCAGGGACACCAGAGTGGGCAGAGGGGACTTTTCCCTGAGAGGCACTCACCATGCTGGCCTGGTTGCTTGTCTTGTTGATGCTGTGCACCTATAGGCGGCAGATGAATGGAGTGATTGATTTATGTTCCAGGTGAGGCCACTGAGGCCCAGGGAGGAAAGCTGAGTTGCTCAGGCTCTCAGAACTAGCTCGCCCTAGAGCTGAGGCCAGAACCAGGTGCCAGGAGGCAGGGTAGAGAAGCAGCCAGTGCTCGAGGGCCCTTCCCATCAGAGTCCTGAGCTGACCCCAAGGGAGCATGATGGCATGGGGTGACGCTACCATCTGGATCCTTCAGTCCCTCCCCCCAGGGCTGGAGGAGGTTAGAAGTGGGGTCCCTTTGAGACCTGAGATGTGGCAGCTCCAAATACATCACAACTCCTCCACCACACCAGTCCCCAGTCTTGGTGACAGCTAAACCCTTGGTCTCTCAAAGAGGGCCCAGCTTTTCCAGAGCTCTGTGTGTGCACTGTTGTCCTCAGAGGTCTTTGCTCAGAACACAAAACGAACGAAGCTCAGCCTTTCACTGATGGTCTGATGAATGAGTCAGAAAAGAGGACTGGGGCTGGGGATGTGGCTCAAGCGGTAGTGCGCTCGCCTGGTATGCGTGCAGCCCGGGTTGGATCCTCAGCACCACATACAAGCAAAGATGTTGTGTCCGCCAATAACTAAAAAATAAATATTAAAAAAAAATTCTCTCTCTCTCTCTAAAAAAACAAAACAAAACAGGTTTTACTGAGTTCTCTTTAAAAAAAAAAAAAAGAGGACTGATTCTGGACCTGGATAGGAGATGTCCCTGCTCCCTGGCAGGAGCTGCTGAGAGAATTTTACATCTTTACTTATATTTAATCTTCTTAGCAACCTACCCATGAAAAATGTATTATTGTTCCTATAATACAGATGAAGAATTGAGGCTCAGAGAAGTGAAGTTATTCACCCAAGCTTGCTCAGAAAATTGCTAGCAGAGCCAAGTGCTAATTTATAGGACTCTGTGACCATTAGCTATGCCCTTCCTCTTCTCTCCCTCTATTCCTGAATGCTCCTCCCTATCCCAGGCCCTGTGATTAATTCCCTTTTCACTCTGCCTTCCTCTGGGTCCTCAGCTCCAAGGTCTACATGGCTGATTTGGAATCTGCGCTGCACTACATCTTGCGGACAGAGGTGGGCAAATTCTCAGTCCTGGAGGGGCAGCGCCTAGTGGCCCTGAAAAAGTTTGTGGCAGTGTTGGCCAAGGTGAGTGGGGCATGGCTTCCCTTGTCTGTAGTTCCTGATGTGCTTAGTGTGCATGCCTGCAAACCTAGTCATGCCTGCCCCTCCTTGTAGGGGTTCAGGATCTGGACCCAACAGCTGCCCTAGCCTACCTGGGCTGCTACCCTCTAGTCTCAGCCATATCCCACACCATTACCCCACTGCCAGGGCTAGTCCATCCCATGCATGGGCCAGGTGGAGCACAGGGACCAGCTGTTCAGTGACTGTCATTCTTCTGCCCACCTATCTAAATCTTGTGCCTCACTTGAGCCCCAAAGTGTGGCATCTCACTCCGTGTTGGGGTCACTGGGAAAGTAGGACCCCTGGGATACCATAGTGAAAAAGAGAATTACTTTTCTTGTCTTCCTTCTTGTCTGGCCAAGGGTCCAGGACCCTGGCCTTAGCACTGCCTGCCTCTTTCCTGGGAGGAGGCATGCTGATTAGGATGGACTTCATGCCCCAGGGGCCTCAGAGCCCGGCTTCTTCTCATAGGGGCATTGGGCCATCTCTCCCTGGCCACATCCCTCTGGATTCAGATCCACTGCCTGTGCTGACCAGCTTAGACCCAAGTGGCCATTGCTGAGTCAGCTTTGGTGTGGGCCCCTTTGGGTTGACTGTTGGTTTGGCCACCCTAAGCCCTGGACTGCTGATATAAGCTGCCCTGCTTGACACAGGTCTGCAGCCACTGTGTGCCTCCCTTTGGGAACTTCCTGTGCCTGCCCCTTTTTCTCACCTCATCCAGAATGGCACTGAGAGGACCCTATGAAGGAGATTGTAGCCCAAGGCAAGATATAGTCTTTGGCCCTCATAGAGGTTCATGTAGAATTAGTCCATTCCAATAATGGAGACCTTTCCTCAGAGGCCTGAGAGCTGCCTGTTCCTCACCTCTTTGAGGCCTAAGGCAGACGGCCTGGCATTAGAGGGAGAATGGTCTAGGGCCATTCTGTGTGCCAGCTTCCTGCCAACCCTGAGAGGAACCTGTACATGCTTCCCCAGTGAGCCTCAAGAAAGGAGGAGGATGGCACCCTCTCACTGAACACAAAGCTGGTTTTCCGTTTGGCCCTTGTTGGGGCGGTTTGCAGCTGTATGATGGGGAGGATGAGCCCCAGAAAGTACCTGATATGGGCAGAGGCTTCAGCAGCCCAGCCTGCAGCAGGTGCTGGAAGTGAGTTTGTGAGGAAGGAGCCCTCCCTTCCCAGAAGCCTGTGCTCTCATGGGAGTGGCTGGCAGGACTGGCCACTGGGTGGCGTGTGGTCACCAGGGTTGCCCTGCTCCCTGTAGTCCAGAGCCTTTTACTTCATCCTTTCTTCTGACACTATGGCTTCAGAAGGCGGAAGGTGCCAAGCCAAGATGATGGGACTCTGCATGAGCCCAGGACCCTGTGTGCAGGGAGCACGCGAGGCTTGATTTTTTCCAGCCACTTCTCATAACACTTAAGGGCTTCCTCAGAGAAGGAAATTTGTAGTGGATTTTTCTGTTTGGTTATCATTCCTGTCTCTAGGAACCTTCTCTCAAATGGTTTTCTTAGCTTTTTTTTTCCTCTGCAGGTTTCTCAGGGTCATTGTCCTCTCCGTATGTCTCTGTGTTTTTTTCTTCCCTATTTTTAATTGGTGCATTATCGTTGTACATATGGTGGGGTTTGTTGGTACCTATTTGAACATGTACACAATACGACGATATAATTGAGCAGTGTCATTTCCCAGTATTCCCCTCCCCTCCCCTCCCCCTCCCCAGTTCCTTTCCTTACTCACTGATCTCCCTTTGATTTTCATGAGATCCCCTCACCTTTTTTTTCGTTTTCCTCTCTCTAGCTTCCACATGAGAGAAAACATATAACCCTTGACTTTTGTGATTTTATCTGACCTGCTGTACTGCTATGTCCCTCCTTCCTGTGTCCCATTTGTACATACATGCAAACACACACACACTCACACACACACACACACACACTCACTCTCACTCCTCCCTGGAGTCCTTGTGGCTTTAAAGTGCTGATACTAACAAGATTTGAGTTGACTTATTGTCAAAGTAGCTTTTCATGTTCCTCAGAGACCATTGGGAGTTACCATCAAGATTTGGATCTTGGCTCTAGGCCCCTGCGCTGGCCTATCCCCACTGGCAACCAGTGGAATACAAATGAACAATCTTTTGCCAACCTTACCCGGTGGGTCAGTCAGCTGCCCCATCAGAAGACCAGCTGAAAAGAGGACATGTGGCCCGGGTTCCCAGCAGCCTTGAGATGTGGCACAATGCTAGGCCTTCCTCCCAGTGGAGGCATGCGGCATGAGGGTCAGCACGAAGGCCTGAGCCTTCCTGGGAGAGACCTGCAGGGCTCATCTCCACTTAGGCTCTCCTTTCTCCTCCCCCTTTCTCAGACCTTAACCAGGTGCCCCAGAGCAAAGGCAGTAAGGAATCCATGTTTGTACTTTAGGTAGAATATTTTCTTGGTGGTTTTGGAATGAGAAGAAAACCCCACCTTAGCCCACATCTAATAGGCCCTGCCCTCTGCAGGATTGTGAGACTCTGGTAGAATTGCTTTTCACCTTTCGATTTTCACCTGTCCTCCTCACAGTATTTCCCTGGCCAGCCCTTGGTCCAGAACTTCCTGCACTCAGTCAATGACTGGCTTAAGAGGCAACAGAAAAAGAAAATTCCCTACAGTTTCTTTAAAGCTACCTTGGACAGCAGAAAAGAGGTGAGTCTAGGGGATAGTGAAAACCTTCTCCCCAGGCTTGATACTTTTGGGAATTCAGGTGGTGAGCACTGTAATCTCCCACCTCTTCCACCGTTGGCATTCTGGTAATCTTTACATTAATACTTGATAGACTGCTGTTTACTGAGCCCTACACATATATCTCAATTAATCCTCATAAATTAGTGGAAGGTAGATTTTGTTCCCATTTAGCAAATGAAGAAACAGAGATTAAGAGAGGTTAAGTGAGTTATCTGGGATCCTGTAGTGCTGGTTAGTGTTTGGGCTAGGATTGAAAAACGGAGAGGCACCAAAGTTTCTAGCTGCCACTGTGCACCACCTTCGAGGTCGTTGCCCTCCTTGGCATTGCCTCTGCAGGACTACCTCTCTAGGCTTCTGCACACTGGATCACTACAGCCTTATAATAAATGCAGACCTTATAATAAATAGAGCTTAGGGTGTCAAAGCTTGGGGGAACCTGTTTTTTTACACATGGGGAGTCGAGGCTAGGATGAGAGTGTGACTTCATTTGTGTCATCTGCCACCATGGATGGGTGGCTGGTGGGAGGACAGTGCCAGCTCTGAGGCGGTCTGTGCTGAACTTGCAGTCTCCTGGAAGCGTCTTTCTTAACCCCTGTTCCCACCCTTTGCTCTCCATCGTGCACTCACTCACACTCGTATGTGCTCCTTAGGACACTGTTCTTGCCAAGAAGGTGAACTGGGTTGGCTGCCAGGGGAGTGAGCCACATTTTCGGGGCTTTCCCTGCTCCCTGTGGGTCCTCTTCCATTTCCTGACTGTGCAGGCAAGTCAGCAAAGTATAGACCACTCGCAAGAGCCAGGTAAGTCCAGGGTCTGACCCATGGCTGCGCTCCCCTTGCCTTGTCCTGTCCTCCCAGGGATAGGAAGCTGGCCACACACAGCCAGCATGGAACTGGTCCCAAATTGAAGGACTTTGAGAATTCACCTAGTCTGATCCCCTGCCTCTGAGATGATACCCCTCAGACTGGGGCATGAGGCTGCTGCTTGGCTTTGTTAGGGCTTATAGCTTGCTTTGTTTTTAGTCCTCATGAAGCATTTGTGATGCTGTTTTTTACACTCTTATAAAGAAAGAAGTTCATCGTGTCTGTCTGTTGCAGTCTACAGAACTGATACTGTGCCTTGTGAATAATGTGATTGTTTCCCCCTGAAAAATAATTTTCCTGAGGAAGATGGAGAATCACATTTCCCCTGCTACCCTGCTCCGTCCCCAGGCCACACAGCTGGGCTCTGGTGATCTCCATGCCACACACCTGCTTTTAACACTGTATGGGTGGCCATCCAGTTCAGTACACATCTCCTGAGAGCCAGGTTTAATCAGGCACTGGCTCCTCTTGGAGGGTCCATAGAGACTGTTGCTGTTCTCAGTGGAGGGTGTGGCAGGGTAGACAAGGGCCCTGCTGCGTGTCAGGGCTGAGAGCCCAGGGAGAGAGAAGGGGGACCCTGCACTATTGGAGGGCAGGGCTTCACAGGGGAGGAAGAGCGAGGGAGATGGGTGGATGGGGGTTCAGCTTGAAAAGAGGTGCTCCCGGACAGGGGGAACAGCCTGCTGGAGGCAGAGTGAGCTCGTGGGAAGCCAGAGTCAGTGGATCTGTCTGTCCATACTTAGGGAGGATCCCCACAGTGCCAGTCACTGCCATAGGTCCTAGTTACACAAGAGCTATGAGGCACTAAGTCCCTGCCTTTAGGGTCCAGTAGTCTAGTGACAAGAGTGTTCACTCCAGGGGCAGTAAACAAAATTAGATCACTTGCAGTTAATGGTGAAGGCTGTGAGGAGGACAAAGCAAAGCGGTGTGCGCAGGGTGCTGCGTGCAGACGCCCCAGCTGGGGAGGTCTTCTCTGAGGAGGTGCCCCATGCTGAGATCCTCATCAGAGGGAAGCAGGCATGGGCATCTGGGAAAAGAACCTTCCAGGCTGTCTGGTCGGCTCAGGCAGCCGTGACAGATGCCGCAGGCTGGGTGCTTGCAATTCTGGAGGCTGAAGTCCAAGATCAAGGTGTGGCAGGCTTGGCTCCCTCAGAGACCTCTCTCCTTGCTGGTGGTTGTCACCTTCTGTGTCTTCACATGTCTCTCCCTGTCTGGCTTCAGAGTTCCTCTTCTTATGAGTACAACAGTCCTATTGGACTAGGTCCCACCTCAAACCTAATTTTACCTTAATTCATTAAAGACCTGTCTCCAAATACAGCCACATTCTGAGGTACTAGGGCTTCGGCTTCAAAATAAGACTTCTGAAGGAACACGGTTCAGCTCATAAGACAGGCTTAAAACCAGGCATCGGTGCAGAGAACAAGCTTGTGTGTTTATAGCACCCAAGAAGGCCAGGGTGGGGCCTAGGAGTAAGGGAGCTGAGGCTGAAGGGGGCAGGCAGAGGAGGTGGGCGGGTGGGCATGGGGTCCTTGCTCAGGGTGGGTTTTCAATCATGGATTCCCATTAAAGAAAACCACCAGACAGTTCCACAGGGGAGTGGCACAAATGAGCAATGCTCTAGGGAGGCTGCTGGGTGGGCTACTGGGTAACCAGTTAGGAAGCTGTGGATGTAGTTCCTGGTGTGCCGATGGAAGAGGTGGTCAGGCTCAGGAAGGGTTTGAAGGAACAGATGGGACCTAATGATGGACTGGAGGAAGAGGATGGAGTGGGCTTCAGGGCTTTGGAGCCTGAGCCCCTGTGGATGATGGTCATACGAGCTGAGTAATGGGAAGACTTCAGAGGGGGGAGCAAAGTCAGGGGTCTGGCATATGCCTGTCAGTCGTCTGAACAGAGGCGTGCACCAAAATAAGTCTTCAAAATAAGACTTCTGAAGGAACACGGTCCAGAGTTCCTGGAGAGATGAGGATGGATTAATTTCGTGGTCACTAACACGTAGAGGACAGTTAAAGCCTCAGGGATGGATGAGCTCCCTAGTGGGAAAAGAGAGAAGAGCACTGAAGAAGGAGCCCTGGGCCCAGCACCACCCAGACTACCACTAGGTGTGCAGGAGCCAGCAAGAGAGTCTGAGGAAGGGAGGCCATTGAGACTTCAAGAGGACCTCCAAACAGTGTTTCAGGGATGAGGGTATAATCAGCTGGGTGAATGCTGCTGAAGGTGGCACAAGATGAGACTGCCTCTGGCAAGAGGTGTTTCAGAGGATGGCACAGTGATGGCTGAGGAGTGTAGATGGTGAGGGACTAGATGGGTGACCTTCAAGGAGACCCGGGGCATAGGAGTTTGGGAAGAGGTGGGGTCACCTCTAACGTGACTCCTGGAAGGGGAGAAGTAGGCAAGGAGATGCTGAACCCTTGTCACACAGGTGGGGTATCTGTGAGGAGATGACTTCGGCAGAGCTGGGGAGGACCGGCAGTGGGGAAGGGAGCCGTGGTGAGGCCTGCAGGGGCAAGCACCCCAAAGGACCCTGCGCATGGCATTCCCCTCTCCCTGCAGCCCCAGGCCAGGAGGTCCTCCAGGCCATCCGGAACTATGTGCGCTTCTTCTTTGGCTGCCGGGACTGCGCTGACCACTTCGAGCAGATGGCTGCTGGCTCCATGAACAGGGTCCGGAGCCCGAATGAGGCCGTTCTCTGGCTCTGGTCTGGCCACAACAGAGTCAATGCTCGCCTCGCAGGTAAGGCAGGGCCATCTCCCAAAGCTGCAGGCATCTATGGTTGGGAAGCAGGTACTTCAGGATTGGGGGCCAGAGATGGGGGACTCTCACTGCCACCTTGGTAACAACTGTGCTTCTCAGCTCACAGAGCACTTTCACTGCTGTGCCAGTTCTGCCAACCAATGCTGTATCGTTAAGAGCCATTTTCTAGATGAGAAAACTGAAGTTGTGACACCATAAGACCCTGTTCTTCCAAGAATATTGATGTCTTTCCCCTGCACTAGGGCCCCTCTGTAAGCCTGTCCCCGTCTCTTCTGCCTCCCCTATCTTGCTTTCTGGCTGGTGGCACCTCACTATAACTAACAGGGAGGAGAGAGCTGGCTTTTCCACTCCCAGGACAGGACTCATGATAGAGTGGGCTAGAGAAGAGACAGATGCTAGGGATTGGTTCCTACATGGGCGGCCTTGGCTCCTACTTCCTTACGTACAGTGCTTTACTTCCCTGTGTGCTGGAGTCTGGTGGGTCCTACAGGCAAAAGCTTTAAATTCTAAGGACAGCGGGTGGGAAGGGAGCCATCTGTGGACAGGAGGCTGCAGTGTGTGGAGAGGAGTGTTTGGCTGTGACAGCCCTGCCCCCTGCCACCCACCACCCCCCCACCCCGAGCAGGGGTCTGGGGGTGGAGCAGGTTAAAGGAGCTGAACAGAGCAGGTGCAGGCGCCTGCACTTGGTGTGCTCTCCTGGGGCTTCCTGGTGGACTTAGAAGATGTGTGCCTGTCTTCTCCACTGCCCCTTCCACATGCCCCACCCCCTGCCACCAAGTGTTCCATTTGACCCTCCAGCCCCATCGCTCAGCAAGCTCCAGCTGTTGCTGGAGGACTGGGATCCAAGCCCCCCCCCCCCCCCCCCCCCCCCCGCGGCCCCCGCCCCCGCCCCCCCCCCCCCCCCCCCCCCCGCCCCGCAGGGACCAGGAGCAAGTGCTCTTTCGCCCTATCTGGTGGGATCTTTTCAGATCCTACTGACAGTTAGCAGGTACATACTGCTCATTGTGCCTGCCTAATCCTGATTGGTTGCTGCATCCTGGGGCTTTGCTTACTAATCCCTCTTCAAAATAACCATTCCGGCATTCCCATCACTTGCCTCTGCAGCTGTCTCCTAGCAGTCCACAACCTCTTTTCTTGTTAAAACTGTCAGGAGAGATGCTTCCTACAAGAAGGATGGGCTTATAGGCATCCCTGAGTAGTGCTGGGCCTGAATCTGGTGGCAGGCCACCTGGGGTCCTCATAGCTACAGCTCCACACTCTGCCCAGCAAGTGCCCCCAGGCTCCCCACACCTGCCTCAAGCTTCCTGCCTGCCTACCCTGAGGCTGCCATGTAGAAGGAGCACTTGTGGAATTGCCCTGAGCAGTGAGCTCTTACCTTAAAACATCTTCCCTTTAATCATAAAAAGTCATAGAGTTTCACTGTATAAAATTTGGAAAATTTCAGAAAAATGGGGGAGAGGGGTGATAAATACTAAAAATGGGGGAGAGGGGTGATAAATCTGTTTTGTACCAGAGTACAAAACAGATCATTCCAAGATTTTTTGCCCTTTCCATGTCTGGTCCAGAATGTAAATGGGCAACAGAACCACAAAGGGGTAAAGTGGGCCAGGTCACCCCTGGGAAGTGGCTGGAACCACAGAGTGCCCGGTGTGGTGGGCGGGAATCCTCATGTGATGGATGCCAGTCATTGGGGACTGTGAGCCAGGCTCTGGGGGCTTTCCACCTGCAGCTGTCACCTCCGTCCTTTGGAAGGCATGGTGAGCCCTTTTTGCAGAAGAGGAAGCTGCTGTTCTGAATGAAGGAGGTCTGGGCTCCTGGGCAGGCCCAGAGTCACAGCCTGCCTGTGTATGCTTCCCTCCCCAGGTGCCCCCAGTGAAGACCCGCAGTTCCCCAAGGTGCAGTGGCCACCTCCTGAACTCTGTTCTGCCTGTCATAATGAACTCAGTGGGGACCCTGTGTGGGACCTGGGCGCCACCCTCAACTTCCTCAAGGCCCACTTCTCCCCGCAAAACCTCGTTCTGGACTTTCCTACAGCTGGGCCAGCCCCCCGGAGGGGTGCACAGAGTTTGGCAGCTACCCCAAAGCTGGGGGTGGGAGTGCTGGAAATGGTGACCAGAAATTCAACACTGGGTCCTGAGCAGGCTGAGCCCAAAGAGTCCCCTGGAGCTGCAGTCCCAGATGTCCCAGCTGAGAGACCTGAGGCAAGTGGCACCCCAGAGCTGCCTGCTGGCCTTGCGGTGAGCACAGCTGCTCCTGAGCACATGGAAGAGCTCCAGAGTGGCGTGCTGGAGCAGCCCCAGGAGCAGCGACATTTCAACAAGCGAGACACCAGGGAGCTGTTGGCTGGGGCCTGGGCTGAGGAGAACCACAGAGGCCCTGCAGCACTGAGGCAAGGAGGCCGAAGCTCCAAGCAGCTAGCCCACATCCCTGAGGGGGAGCCAAAGGCTCTAGCGGTGTCAGGCCACGGCCAGTGGCTGCAGGTGCTAGGAGGGGGCTTCTCCCATCTGGACATCAGCCTCTGTGTGGGGCTCTACTCCCTGTCCTTCATGGGCTTGCTGGCGGTGTATACCTACTTCCGGGCCAGGATGAGAGCCCTGAAGGTCCATGCTGGTCACCCTGCAGCCTGAACCATTCAGCTTGTGAGGGGCAGGAAAGAGAGCTGCCATCTCTTGGGCTCTTCTGGCCCCTTGCCCCCTTGCCTTCTTCCAGCCTCTGCCCCTGTCCAGCCCAGGAGGGTGGGAAGTCCAGGAAAACCAGTTGCTCAGGTGAACCCCCTGGGTCTGCTGGGAAGGAGGGTTCCGTAGACACAAAAGACAGGAGCAGGTCCAGGTGCATTGCCCTGCGGCAGGAGGGCAGCCTCTGGCGTGGGGCTTAGGCGCAAGCCCTGGCCTCTACACCACATTCCTGTTTTCCAGCTTATTTGAAGCCCTGCCTGGTTCTTGCTGAAGCCTCAATTTCTTCTGTTTGGTCTTAGTCCTAAATTGGGTCAAGTGAGCCTAGAATTTCAAAGGTGTCTCATCTAGAGGAGGGCCCCCCCAGGCTGGGTGGGCTGAGTGGACCTCCTCACTGTATTCCAGGGTTCCATCCACCCCTCTCCCTCTGGCACAAAGAGGTCTCTACGCCTGAAAAAAAAAAAAAGGGACCCCCCTCAGACCCTTTCTGGCCTGCCTAGCCTTTAGCTCCTCAGATCTGCCTGGGGCTCTTGGCTTGGGATGGGGTTGGGGGGACTGGAGGCTTCTGGAAATAATGCTTTCTAGGTGAAGATGTCTGCTACAAGAAGAGTGTAGGTTGGGGTTGGTGTGGCCTTGCCCCGCTGGGCAGGTGACAGTTGCTGGGCTGAAGGTATGTGGCTTACTTGGTGGCCTGAGGGGGTGGTGGTAGGGTGTGGGGAAGGGTGCTGGATCTTCAATGCCAAGGCACTTAGCTGTTGCCTTTTCCCCATCGGGCTCTACCCCTCTCAGCTGGGTCTTTTTTTTTTTTTTTTTTTTCCCATGCTAACTTTCAGATGTGGAGGGTGCTGGGCTGACAGGGGAGTGTCCTGTCTTTCAGGGTTCCACCTCCCAGGGATAGAGGTTTAAAGGGTCTGAGGAGGATGGGCTGTACACATGCTGATTCCCACTCCCCACTGCTTGGGAGGCTACGGAATAAATTATTCTTGCTAAGCCAGCGCCTGTGTGTTCTTTCACTTGCTCCTTGGAGACCAGGAGCCAGGTCTGGGCAGGATGCATAGCGCCCAACCTTGCCTGTACACAGCCAGCATATAGTTCCCAGCAAGGATGCGAACACGGGAGATGTACCCACAGCCAACAGTGCTCAGGGGCCCTACAGTCTCCATAGGCCTTGGCATGGGCCTGAGTGATGTGCAGCTAGCCACCTGAACTCTCCAGCCCTCCCTGGGACGCCTGCCTGCCCAGGGCCCTGAGAAGGCTGTGTGCACCTGGCTCAGCTCCTCCTGGAGGGAGGGCTTGTTTATCTGGGCTGGCCTAGGCTGGCTGCTCAGTAGGGAGGGGTCTCAGATTAGAGAGCTTGCCCCTAATCCAGCCTGCCTGGTTTTACAAGGATCAGAGCAACTGGTAATGAACCTCATTAAGGGGGAGCAGGAGTCTCAATCGGATTTGGGGTTTTCTCTGTCATCTTCACACAGCTCAGATGGCCTCTGCATGGGTGGAGCAGGTGAAAGGCCAAGGACACCCCCTGTATTGGGGCAGCAGTGGGGGAGGTAGGCAGCGGTCTCCCTCCCTTGTTCCTTGCTGTGTCACCTGATCTCTTTAGCTCCTGGGGTGGTTTCTCTCCTTCAGCTGGGGTCATCCACCTGCTCCCTCCGTCCTGGGCAGGCTATCTAGGACCTGGCTGGGAATCAGAGACCCACAGGCCCGCACATGACCAAGTAGGGTGCAGGAAGCTCCCAGGCACAATAACAAGGACAGGGTTCTGTTAGCAAGTCCTGGATTTTTCAGGGGCCATATTTCCAAAACCAAACCCTGATGTTTAGGACTGGGGCTCTGCTGGAAATGCTGGTGTGGCTGCCCCAGGCAAAGTGTCTGTCCACAGGGCCAGACAAGACACTGGACCTTATTTGGGACCCACTTAGTGGTGTGGATTTGTGTGTCACAGTGAGCTTCTTTTTGCCCTGTCCCAGTCCCTCTGATTGATAGATGGGGCGGGACTCCTCAGCAGAATCGCTGCCTTTCACTTTGATTTCCCCAGGGCTCTGGTCCACAGCTTTGATAAGCCAGCCTGCGACCAGCTGGTCCCCTCCCCAACACAGGCTGCCAAACAGGGACCTGGGGCTCACTGTGTCTTTCTAGGTTGTTTCTCTGTCCCTTAGGAGGCTTCCATGACAGAAGAGGAGGTCCCCAGAGGAGCCCTATAAGCAAAGGCTTCTTTTGGGGGACCCAGACAAAGAAATGAGCCTCTGTCCAACATAACCTCCTGAAGGATTCAGGGACGATTTCCTCAAGATAGCAGGGAGCTGGGTGGGAAGGGTGAGTGGGTGTTAGCAAGGAAAACGGGGAAGTCTGACCAAAGGCAGAAGGGGGAGCACGTGCCCTGCTCAACAAAGAAAAATGGGAATAGAAAAAAGGATTCCAAGCAAAGGGCTTTCTTTTTAAGTTTTAAGGATTAGCTCAATGCCCTGTTGGGCTAAAGGCTGGGGATAAGACAGAAGCAACCTGCCCCCAGTGTGACAACAGAGTTTGCCAGGAAAGGACTCCAGATTTTGAGAAGTGTCCTCTGGAGGATGGAGAGCAGCAGGGAGGACATCAGGGGAATGTCTCCCTGGCCCAGGTGTGAGCCAGAGTGGAGGGAGTGGGGGCTGGGTGACAATGTGCAGGTGCACAGGGACCACAGCCTTAGGGACCTTCACTTGGTTCTGCATCTTGTGGGACCAAGCAGGCGTCTGCCTTTGGTCAGGCTCCTCCCTAGAAGTCTTGGCATGAACCAGGGAGCACAAGTGCTGGTGGGCACAAAGGGAGCCCTTAAATCTGGCCTTGGAGATGGGGAGTCAAGTCCAGCCTTCAAGAGAATGGACTCTGGCATCTGACATCCAGGTGTGAGTCCAGCTCCTGACACTGGCTGTGTGACTTTAGGTCCCCTGTCAGGGACAATAAACTACAAAGTTGTTCCATGCTGGGCAAACAGTAAGTGCTCAATGATGGTAGCCCACTGTTTACGTCCAGTTCCTGTCTTACTAAAACAAACTCAAAGGGCCCCGTGTGCTGGGGGTGGGGGGGGCCTTTCACACAGGATATTCTGTGAAGGTGTCCCTAGAGTTGTGCCTCCAGGTGCCAGCCCTTGGGCCACCACATTAGGTACTACTGTCCAGGGCTCAGGGAAGGCATTCAGTGGAAATAATGCCACCCTGCTCCCGTCCACCTCCGCAGAGGTGGAGCTCTTCATGAGGCGGGCTTTAAGAAGCTTTGGAGTTTGTTTCTATCTACAAAATGTTTATACTACTGCAGAATCAATAATTACCAGTTTTAATCTTTGCACTCATTTAAATCTCATTTAATCCCCCAACAGCCCTAGATGAAGAAATTGAGGTTTAAGGAGATTAACAAATGTCCTATGCCCTTTATCTCCACCCAAATAAATAAATTTGCCTTTGTTCTCACAAATGGCAAGAGATGGATCTAGGTCTTGAACCCAGGTCCGCCCTCTCAACCATCAAGCTATGATGTACGATTCTCTTCATATTCTGTTCCATTTAGAGCAGTTACCGAATTCTCTCCGAGACTCTGGTGGTGTTGAAGCTGAACATGCCAGTCCTGTTTCCTTCCAATAAGAACATTAAATACCCTTTTGGTTTTCTAAATTTTTAGACTGGTGATTGGCACCTGACTGGAGTAAGTAGACCATATGGGATGATTTCTGAGGTGTGGTGTGTTGGTGGCAAGGAGTGGGGACATCCTCAAAGAAATCCACCTCTTCTGGAGCTCTTGCCCTGTTCCTTATAGAGTGTCCTGTCTAAGGTTCATGGTGGGCTAGATAGAAGAGGGGTCACTGACCAATGGACATGACCTTGGGTGAGCCATTCACTTCCTCAGCCTCAGCTTTCTCACTCATGAAAGGAGGCCACAGACTTAGCTTGCTGCCCCTGTCCAGGCCCCTCTTTCACTGACAACTCAATGGGGAGCTGAGGTGAGGGTTTGCCCTGCAGGGCCCTCCAGGACAGATGACTCCTGGCTGAAGGAGCCACAGTTTCTTGGTTTGTGTCCTGATGGAGGTCCAGGACAGTGTGGAAGAGGAAAGCTCTCACAGCCTGAGAGTTTGGGCACAGTGCCCCTAGGCCTCCTCAGCCTACCCCCACTGAGTTTCCTCTCACAGTGACCCCCCAGAGCTGCCTCCAAGCACTCCCCCCCCCCGCCTCTGGACTCCCCTGCCATTGCACTGCCTCTAGGGGGAGGCTGCTGTGGAGTCAGGCCAGCAGGACTCTGGCCCCAGCTCTAAAGCCTAAGCCAAGTCCCAAGGAAACAGCCTGTGCACTCCACCCACCTGTGCCTGCTTTTGTGTCCCCACACCAGGTCAGGCTTCTGGGCATCCAGCCTGACCTCACCTATCCCATCCCGACACGTGCTTTCCCCTGCTCTGCACACCCAAGAGGGAACACATTGTCCCCTCATCCTTCCAGGCCCTGCTGGACCTAAGCCCTCTGACTGACCTGGTAGTGTGGTCTCCTTAATGGAAGGACCCAGCTGTTGGAGCCCTGGTGACAGCTCAGGGTGGAGGAGACCTCCCTCCTCTTAGGCTTGGCCTCTCTGAGGAGTGTGCTGGTGACCCAGAGAGAGTCCTGGGACTGCACAGGGCGGTTGGCCCAGTCTCTGGTCATCCTCATGGTCCCCTTCTAGGATTCACTGCTGCCTAGTGTGGGTTGGGGGATGGCAGGCGTGGGTCACAGAAAAGAGTCTGGAGGTCACAGGGTACAGGTGGGGGCATCTGAGGATGCAGGACACAAGAGCCAAGGGGCAGTCTTTGGGGGGGGTCAGGAAGACTCTCAGCATCTACATGGATTCCGATTCCAAGGGGTCTACCCAGGTGCTTCTCCAGCAGGACTTGATATCTACCCCTGAGGGCAAAGGTCTTCCCCTGCGGCCACCGAGTTCCTCCCAAAGACAGCAGCCTCTGTGCGGTCTGCCTCTCACCCACCATGAAGGAGCAGCTCGAAGTTGGAAGGGACTGAAAATCTCACCCAGCCCGAATTTGCTCACCATGTCCCCACCAAGTTTTCAGTCCTCTCAAGGTTCTGGTGGTCACAGAGTTCTGCCTTGGGGGCAATTGTTTACCACTGAGATTGACAATATGAATCATTTGGGGGCAAATTCAGCTAAGATCCCACTTTCACACCAAATACCAAAACTCATGCAAAACAACAAAAAAAGACAGGAAAGTTGGTCTGGGGTTGAGGCTCAGTGGTAGAGCACTCACCTAGCACGAGTGAGGCACGCCATCCTCAGCAGCACACAAAGATAAATAAATAAAGGTACTGAGTCCATCTACAACTAAAAGAGATTTAAGAAAACAAAAACACAGGAAAGCACAGCTGTATGCTTCACTTTTCTTTTTCTTTTCAGTTTTTTAAACCTTTTTAACTGATACATAAAAACATTAAAACTGTACATATTAATGGGATAATGTGATATTTTGATAGATATATACACTATGTAATGTTCATATCCATGTAAATGTATCCCTTGTATTATTTCTCTATGGTGAAAACTTCAAAAATCCTTCTCGCTTTGGAAATGCGCAGCACATTGTCCTCATGACTAGTTCACTATCTCGCTGTTTTTGAAAGCATGGAAACAAGGGGAAATCAGGGTGAGACTTCACTCGACATCACTTCTTTAAAAGTAAGTTGAAATAGCAAACAAAACCAAATGGCTTATTGAATATTTAGTAACTGGAAAAGGAATCTAATTCTTGCACAGCAAGCAGTGTTAGAATGAGTTGGGCCTGCAGGACATAGGACCTGGAGATGTCCAAGAAGGACCCATTTCTATAAAATATATGTATATGCTTACATATAATTATAATTAATATATATATATTTTTATAATATAAATATATGGACATATTATGCCTATAATATAATTGTATACATAAATTTTATATATGATTTTATATATTATATATTTTATAATATAAAATTATACATGAGTATATAAATT